GGGCTGTCGATTGGTTTGGAGCCAGAACTTGAGAGGCTGAGGTGCCCCAAAAGTTGCCCTGAAATTTACGGGCTGAGAGCAAACCTGGCACTTGAAATCAGGGCTACCAACTTTTTTGCACTTTCGCTAAGGAAAACCTTCATCTCTTCGGGTCCGTCCGTTCCTAGGAAAACTACTAAGAGCCAGCTAGGCAATAGGCTGAGGTACGAAACATGTCGATGAATTTGACGGGGATGGGAAAAGGAAGAGGGGAGTGGCTGGGAGGAGGTGGGGGGACTGGTGAGGGAATGGGAGGGAGGGAGGTATTAGTATGGGACGATAAGGGCTAACCGCGGGATCTGCACTTGAAATCCGGGTTAGGCCCACAACCAGCACTTTGCGGGGACGGGCTGCCCTCAAAGCCAACCCTTAAAATTCGGAAGCTGGGCCGGACCCAACCCTTAATGTTCAGGGCATTAAGGGCATTTGCCCTTGAATCGTCAGCCCTGGTCAGAGCGGAGGGAGAGAGAATGGCCATTGGCCACGGAGGGTGGGCCCCAGCCGCAAGGACGAACAAGTGAAACGAATCGCACTCTCATGGTCCATGCGCGCCACACATCGCAAGGCGATGTGGTTGGGGGGTGGGCCCAAGCCCAGTTCCACCCCAAGGACGAGCAAATCCCATCACATCCCCTCCCCACCCCAACCGTACCATTGGGGTTTTGGCTCGCACAGTAGAGAATTTGGCGCGCTTCAATCATGCCCATGCGCATGAGCTCGGACCTGGCTCCCCCAATCCCGCTGTAGGTCCTTCTCAATACACAGATAACACCATACCGTGTACCTCGATGTTAGACGGTGTACAGAAGCAGCCATATTATACACAACAAATGTCATGAACACAATCCGACGGCAAAACAGGTCCCACCGAGAATTGAACTCGGGCATTCAGATTCAGAGTCTGACATCATAACCGCTAGATCATGGGACCATGCTACAACAATTACAAAGACTGTCCACGGCCGTGCGTGACCTGGATCAGCTTGCAGGTATCCGCTACTCAACTTTTCCTTATAGCGACGGGCAACTTTTGGCAGTGTTGGGTTCAGAAGTTTTTTTTTTGAACCAGGCTTGCCAGCGCGAAAGTGCTGGCTGGCGAAAACCAGGATTTCGTGCGGACACTTTCCATCCGCAGTAACAGTTCGCCAGGGTTCTGGGTTTTGGGTGGCAAATGTGCACCGTCGCTTTATGGCGACCGCGTGTTTAGGCCCATTCTTCAGGCCATTTGTCTCCGGAATGCCACCCCATGGCCTTGTGACATTGCACCGCAACGTTCACAATGTCGGATCGCAACGTCATTGTCATGTGGGCGAATTGTCAGTGGCAAGGCGTCAAGGCTCACGAAAGTCACCAACCAGTAACGTATCCTCGAAGGATGGCCGGCAACATGAGCTTTCATACACCCGCTTCACATTTCGTGCGAATCATGGCGAAGCGCTACAATCCGGGCTCTGCTTTAGATCAATGGGCGGTCAACATGGGGAATACGGCAGGAGGCGACGGGTAGCCGCCAGTAGCAGTAGCGGCAGCGGTGGTGGTGGCGGAGATGACGTTGACGTCAGCGATGAGTCGGATGTGAGTGACGCGCTCTGACTTGGCGACGGAATTTCGCTATCGCGAGTAACCACTTTTGGCTCTCAGCCAGGCCGTGACTTCCCATCCCCCCACCTCCCTCTCCTCCCCGTTTTCTTTGTATTTTCCATCGGCTGATTCGAAATTACTCTGCCTTACACCATCGCCCTGCGATTTCACAGCGTCCTCTACTTCCCCCCTCACTCCCCTGTCCCCGTCACCCCTACCCCTCCCAACCCACCACGTTTCTCTCCCTCCATTCCCCTTTCCCGTTCCCCCTTGTGAACCAGCCCGAGGCCGTGGCTCTCACCATGAGTCGGCTGGAGCGGGAGCTCGACGCAGCTGTGCAGGCAGAGGATTATGTTGCTGCTGCTGGACTCAGGGATAGGCTCAGGTGAAAACAGCAGAAGGATAGAGGTTTCATTTGCAGCTGCGTTCGAGTGATAGAAACAATTGTCCAGGTGAAGCAGATAAAGTTGTGAGGCAGGTGACTGAAGTGCTGCTGCTAGGTATATCAGATCAGGTAGAAGCAACACAGGCTCGGTTGCAAATCCAGGCACAGGAGCAGATGCTTCGTTCCAGAACCGCCCCTCATGACTTGACCTCACCTGTCTCCCTCTCCCATGGCGCATTTTCCGTCCTGTTTTCCCGGACACTAGGCGCCTTCAATCGGACAACGAGGCGGCAGTGATTGCAGCCAACGCTCTCTTCTACCGTGCCTTCGGTGCCGCTGACCTCAGGCTCATGCGCCGCGTGTGGGCGAGAGGAGAGCACGTGCAGTGCATACACCCTGGAGCGAACACTATCTCTGGATACGATATGGTGAGATGTGATTTGTTGGGCTAATTCTGCGGTGTCTTCCATGTGTCCTTTGTCCTTACGCGCCCTCGTCACCTCTTGAATTGATGTCACACATTGCTCCCTCTTCACCTTTCATGTCACCCTTTCGTGTCTTCACAACCCCTCTGCCTCCACCACAGGTGCTCAACAGCTGGGAGCTTATATTCGATGGCATGAACCGCCAGCTCAGCATCTCACTGGAAGACGTGGCGTGCCATGTGCGCGGCAGCATGGCGGTGGTGACTTGTGTCGAGGTCATCAAGTCAGCTGGCTCCGCTGGCAGGTGGGTACACGACGTGGGTCTTGAGAGCCAATAGTTTTAATTCTTCAGGCATCTGGCTAAATGTTGTAAGTCGCCTGGAGATTCTTGGGTGAAATTTGCATGGGGTATAACCTCCACTCATACCGTATGTTTTTCCTCCTCCCATCTCAGAGTGGTGGCAACGAACGTGTTTGAGAAGGTAGGCAGTCAATGGCTCATGTGCTGCCACCAGGGGAGTCCAGCCCCACCATCAAGCAGGACGATTAAATTCTAAGCGTACACGTGGCCCTGGGGTGCAACACACAGTATGAGTGCATCCTGGAATTAAATTTCAGCAAGTCATTGGAAAGGACTGGCATACTACATTCGTGTTCCTACAATCGAGACATACCCAGAATCCAATTCTTGCCTTGGAGCTTTAGTGTCCGAGCGAATGCTACATTTGACCTGTTCGGTATATCCCCTGCAAGAATCTCATTGTGAGCAAGCCTGGCAAGCTGTTGGTAAGCACAGCGTATAAAGCTGCCCATGAACATTTGCACATATTCAAATCCTGAGAAACGTGAAGAGTCAGCAGCATCCATAAAGCACTCCATTAACAAACGATGGCAATGGCAACGGAATGCTCCCAGCAATCTCCTGCCTCTGTAAGCAGAGAAGAGTATGCCCGTGTCCGTTGTATACACTCCCATGCTGCTCCATACCCTGAATTTGCCAAGGAGATGTCAAATCTGTGGATGTGCCTGCAGTAGCTGTTCCTACTCTGGTCACACCTCCTAACTAGGAACAGATCCCCATTGAGGGCTACACATGCGTAACCCCTGCTCTGGTAACCATAACATGCTCTATGCTGGCACGTCAACCTGTGCTCAGCACCTGTGATAGGCCGAAGGGAAGGTGGAGAGGAAGGTGGGTTCATCGGAAGGTTGACAGAGGAGAAGAAGTCAGGAGAGGAAAGTGGCTGAACGCTTCCTTGGCTCTGCCTCCACAGCTTCCACTCATCTGTGCAAGGGTCACACACGAGCGGGAAATTGAAGCACACCCACCCTCTTGCATCCCACCCCCCTCCTCCTCCCGCTTGACCTTCTGCTTCCTGACATTCATCAGGTTCAGCTGCTGCACCACCGATCACACAGAGCCTGTTGTGGAGCACCGCCGTCTGGAAACCAGTTCGGGGAACAGGCAAACTAGCAGCTTCTCTCCACTCCAAGTTGATACTACGTTGAGCCTGTCTGGGATTAAGATTGGTGCATTGACTGCTACTGCTGCTGGATGGTATGATGGTGCTGCTGCTGCCGCTGCTGCTGCTACTAAAAACCGGAATCTCGCACACGAAAAGCGTGTAGTTGGGGTCTGTGTCGTCTAACGGGGATGAACAACCCCCAAGAACGTACAGTCGGTTCCCAATAACCTGTGCGTGAGCTCCTTGTCTGGGTGCTGGCAGATTTGATGCTTGGAGCCAAAGGTTTTGTCTCAAATCGAACACTTCAATTGAGGAAAGCACCTCATACGCGTTGGTAACACCTCCGATAACGAAAATCGCGTCAGGAGAAGCGCAGCAGGCGAATTTGCTGCGTGGAGTTTTGAGTGGAGAAAGCGACCGTGATGTGTTTGTCAGTGGGTTATAGGAGTCAACTGAAGCAGAGAAAGTTAAGTCAGTCATTATGCCTGTGTGGTCTATGGTCTGTCCTCCGATAACGTAAACCGTGTGTCCGACTGAAGTCACTCCGAAATATTGGCGGGATGGAGGAAGACCGTTGAATGAACATGGTAGTCTCTGCCAAGTTACAGGAAACGCATTGAGACACGCCAGCACGAAAAGGCAATAAACAAGAACGGAAGTGAATCACTTGACTGCATGACAGTTCAAAACCAACAATCGCAATGAGATCATACATGCTATCTCACTTTTAAGAAAGGGTAAAAATATACGAGTGGACTACCAACCTGACACTTGGTGGTGAGCGAGTCGAACAGCTTGCAGAGCAATCCTCCCTCGATTCGCCAAGTCAGAGTCACCAACCACTCTGTCGCTTTCCCCACCTGACGTCTGAGATCCAAGAAGCTATCTGACGTCAGCAACTTCCTCCATTTTCCGCAAACCCCCCGGAGTCGCAGGCATCCTGGGTCTGAATCGGAGGAAACGCGAGCTAGGCATTGCAGCAAGAGCTCGTCGGGAAGGGATTGTAAGGGAAAGGCTGACCCTTCGCCTGGACTTCGCGCATCCATCTCAACGCGGCATCGAGAATCCAAAAACGGCGTTAACGAAGCCGATGCGTTTCTAGTGTTATGACTTCGATTTACCACGCCCTTCAGCATTGATCCTGAAAAACAGCAACATGCCCTACGCTCAACAGCCTTATTCACAGGTAAAAAACCCTGAGGAGAAAACGTGTGCTCTTCCTTACCTTTGATGTATTGAGCTAGCGGCTAGGTCGCAGAAAATCGCCTTAGCAGCTACGGATGCGAGCGGTTTTCAGAGGCGGCTTGAGAAATGGATTTGCTGCTGTATTTTTTCCTCCTGCAGGCTGCATCCGTTCTGAGCCCAGGCAAACCAACAAAAGGGCCTGCCCAAAGCCTTTTGTTGCTGGAGCAAACCTCGATGCAACTGCAACCACAAAACACATCGAGGGCGCTTATTTTGCCACCTGTTCATACGAATTTGGTCTACGGCTGCGATCGACGGTCTGACAGTTCCAATCAACCTTGTGTATAATCTACATTTTCTTGACGTAGCTTGATAGAAGCATATCCCTGAAATTAGTATGGTAGTGATCCCTGAAATTCCTACTCACCCTTTCCTAATGACTAGTCCTGTAAAATGCTGCACTCCAACAATTCCTGGTTATGCTTGATAATGTGTGGCATCTAGTCTAAAGTACATCTGACCCCCATCGAAGACCACTGCTACAACACATCCTGGTCGTTCTTGATATTTGTGGCATCTAGTCTCTAGTATCTGACCCCCCTCCACCTCCACTGCTACCACCAACCACATCACCACCACTACTATCCAGGCCAACTTGGGAACCTGGCATGGGTGCAGAACAGGTACGGATATGTGTCTTCAGCCTCGGAAGGTTCGGCTGTACGCTGCGGCACCGGTGGCACCGAAGCTCATGCCGAAGCAGATGCCGAGCCTCTTTCTCCAAGGCTCCTACAAGCTCATCAGAAGCACCCAATCTTGACCGTGATCGTGCTGCAACATCACTACCTGCTACAGCACCACCAGCTACAGCCGTTCGAGATTCCTCACCCACCACCCTGTCTCCACTCTTACCCTCTCCATCACCTGCTATTGCCAGCCCACCCAATGCCTCTGCTGCTGCTACAGCTGCACCCTCTGCTACAGCTGCAACGCTCCCTTTTCCCACCCCTGCCTCTGGAGTAACGGGGGGAGCCCTGGGGGAGGTTTCACCTGAGCCCGGGAAAAGGTTCTGTCCGGCTACAGACGAGGAGATGTGGGTGGTCGGCAGAGCCGGCAGCACATGGCCGTGCTGCTCTATCTGGGAAATCACCTGACGGGTATAGGGGAGTAAATAATGCAAGGACGTTTTGGCAACAGTGGAAAGCACATAGTCAGAACACAATAACAAGAGAACAATAAGGGGAGATAGCCAACAGCCGACCAGCATGTATCCATGCAAGCACTAAGCACACATTCACCTAAAAGGCATTCTTTTGGTAGGAATATACCTGAAGGGTATACACGAAGTGAATCTCATCTGGAGGAAACTCACCTGAAGGGCATCCCGGAAGAAGGGCGAAGCGAAGGAATTCCAATGCTTCTTGTGCTTCAGATGGGGCGAGTCGAGGTCCTGGCTTATGGCGTGCAGATGCAGCTGATGCATGGACGGCACCTGAGACACACAGGTGCACATGCATACACTTATGGGTTTCAGATATACACATACGCACGGCGCACGGGTCCACCTGATGGAGGCCACATGCACTCATGGATGAACAAACACTTTGAATGAGTATGATTAGACGAGGGAATCCCAAGGATGTGCACTAGTGAATGTAGGTTTGCTAGGTGGGGGTTTATGGGTCGATGGGTTCATGGGGCACGTAAGATTACCTGGTGGAAGCCGAATCGGAAGCGCAGAGGCTGAGGAGGTGATGACCCCGCTGTTGTCACACCTGGCCCTGGGCCCCTCGTTATAGTCACACCCAGCCCTCCCTTCCCAGCCACAGCCTTCTCCCTGATATGCTCGCCTTCACTGCCTGGATCCCCCGCTGGCCGATCACCAGAAGCAGCACCTGAGGCTCCTGGAAGCAGAGTACCAGGAGAATTTTCAGGTGGCTTCTGTGGCAAGTTGTCTTGTGGTAGTGCAGCGCGAGAGGCAGGAGTCAGATTGGGTACATTGCCAGATCCAAGAGTGGGGTTGGAGGAGGAGGAGGGTGAGACGGAGTGTGCCGCCCAGAGCTGCCCGACTGCCAGCATGTGGCGCAGCAGAGGCAGATCCGCTGCTGTGGCGTCGATGATGCGATCCACACTGTCCGTTCGTGCGATTACCAGCAGATGGTGCCGGGCCTGGTGTGGGGTGAGGGGAAGGATGGGGAAGGATCGGAGGAAGGTACCTCTGTCAAGGTCAACCCTCAAACCTCAACCATCACATGACAATCAAACAATGTTCGTATGAAACCCTTGGCAGATTGAAGGCAGACCAACAGACTGGATACTGGCTCCATCATGTGACCTTGGGGAATGCTTTCATTCAAGGAGGAGTATCGCATATCACCACCACACAGGCATGCTTTCATTCAGGATAGAGTTGACCCTTGGCAGCTGAGCTGACAAAGAGACTGACTGAAGCCAGCCCCCAACGTGCTTGCAAGCCAGATCTCACCTTGGGGTACTTATCGCGGATGACCACGACAGAGGCATCAGCAAACAGCACCACATCGCCGTGCCTCTCAGGCCGCATTGCAATGTCCCTCAGCGCGTGCTTCCAGGAACCTTCCGCCCCCCAATGCCCCTCCTTGCGCTTGCCGCCTCCCCCTCCCCCGCCTCCCCCCCCTCCTCCACTCCCTGCTCCTCCTGCGCTCACACCTCCCCCTCGCATGTCACTTGCCCTTCCTCCTCCTCCTGCCCCCACTCCTCCCCCTCCACCATCACCACCACCAGCCCCACCCCCCCCACCACCACCACCACCCACTCCTCCTGCTCCCCCTCCCCTTTCTTCCCCTCCACCACCGGCATTTCCTCTTTCTTCTCCTCCCGTCTCATCCCCTCTCACACCCCTCCCCTCACTCCTCCTCCACCACTGCATCCCGCCTCCAGAGCCCCTCTCTCCTCTCACCCCCTCACTGCCGCCCTCTCTCCTCCCCCCTCCAACACCCTCCCCACCTTTCCCCTCACCTCTCCCCTCCTCCAAACCCCTTCGCTGAGGAAGCATCTCTCCCCGATCCCCCCCATATCCGCCATTCCCCCCATTACCGCCCCTGTCCATCCCCCCTTCTCGTCCCTCTTCCTCTGCCACCCTATCAAGATTCGGTCGAAATGCTGCCCTCCCCCGGCCCACCCACACGCCAAGGGGTTGCTCCCCTGCCCCCCCACCTACGTTGCCCAGCCGCGCCTCTCCTGCTGCCTGCCTGCCTGCAATTCCTGCCCGGTCCAGCTCCCCAGGAGCACGGGGAAGGGGAGGGCGGGGAGGAGGAGAAGGGGCTGAGATTGGCCGTGAGGGTGCTGCTGCCTCAGTCTCCCTTCCCCCCCCAGCCTGGCCCGTAACCTGAGCTCCAGCATCGGCCCGAGCCTCGGCTCCTGGCTGGGCCCAAGCCTGCGCCCCATCCTGGGCTCTGGAGGGCTGGTGGCGGGAGACTGATGTTGGTCCTAAGGCGTGTCTTGGTGGTGTAGTGAAGTGTCCTGCTGAAGCTAATGGCACCTGAGCTTCTGCTAGAGGCACCTGGCGCTCTGTTGTTACCACCTGGAGATCCACAGAGGGCACCTGAGCCGCTGGTGGGGAATCAGCAGCACTTGGCACATCTTCTGCTGCTGCTGGTCCTGCCACAAGTGGTGCCATATCGTCATTTCTGCTGGCACCACCAACAACCGCAGCACCGGCAGCAGCGGCGGCGGCGGCACCATACGACTGAGCATGAGCGTGATCAGCACCCCTTCGATTCAACCCACGAGCATCCCCCTCTACCTCCTCTCCCTCATAGGCACGAACAGCATCATCTCCCCCATCCGCCCCCATCCCTACCCTAGCCAACTCCTCAGCACCCATTCGAACCCCCAACTCACTCCCATCACCTTCCCTTCGTCTCACTTCCCTCTCCCTATGATCGCTACGCCCTTCCCTCCTCATACTCCCTCTCCCATACGACCCCCCAACCCCCCAGCCTTCACTGGTAGCACCTGTCGCCACAGCAGCCGCCGCCGCAGCTGCTGAGCTGTCACCACGCGACCAGAACCCCCTCTCGCCTCCCGCTCACGTGGAATCCGCTCTGGCTGACGTGGAATCAGCCCCAGCTGACGTGGAAGCGGTGCCAGTGTCACTGCTGGGGGTGATAGAGGTGGTGAAAGACATAACGGTGGTGGGAGAGGGAGCCTGGGCTATCATGGCGCCTTCCGGCCTGCCTGCTGGGTCAAAGGCTTCTTTTCCCGCTGCTTCTGCCACTGCTCTTGCCAAAGCTACTGCTCGTGCGTCTGCCTCTGCTCGTGCCTCCGCTGCTGTTGCCCCTCTCTTTCCTGCTGCTGCTGCTGCTGCTTTCACCTGTGCAGCAGAAGCAGGGGCAGCAGCAGCAGCAGCAGCAGCAGCAGCGCCACCACCACCACCATCACCACCATCCCCTGTAGGCATGCGAATCTCTTGCACCATCTGAGCCGTTGGATCAGCAGCCTCAGCCAGCATCCACGGCCAGGGAGGGTTGCTGGTGCTGTGGATCCATGCTATGCCCCTGCCTCTCCCCCTGGGGTGCCCTCTCTCCCATGCTGCCTTCTTTGTTGCTGGGTCTGCTGCTGCTGCGCCTGCCACTGCTGCGTTGACTGCTGCTGCACTTGATGCTGCTACTCCTGATACTTCCGTGCCTGCTGCTCCAGCTGTGGCTCGTACTGCTGCGGCGGCAGCTGGGGCAGCTGCGCTTGGTGCTTCTGGTGCTGCTGTCGCTGGTAATGCCACGCCTGCAAGCTCTTCTGCTGGAGGTGTGAATAAGACGGTGGTGGGAACAGGAGCAGCGGTGGGAGGAAGAGGGGCAACCGTGCCAATGCCAGTGGTCATTTCCGCATCCCGTGCCTGCTGCTTAGCATCGGGAAGCACGTCTGAAGCAGCCTCGGCATCAACCTTAACCTGGTGACCGCCCTTCCTCTTCCTGCCCCTCCCCATCAGCACCGCAAAGGCATCCCTTGCAGATTCACCCCCCCTCCCCACGCATGACACCTCCCTGCCTTGCTGCTGCTGCTTCTGCTGCTGCTGCCTAGCCTCCCCTCCTGATGTTTCACCTCCCGTTCTCTGTTCTCCTCCAACCCCCTCCTCCCCTTGCCTCTCATCCTCCATCTCTTCCCCAATCTCCTTCCCTTCAATCTCCCTACTCCCCTCGCCTTCCCTCTCACCTTCCCCCTCCTCGCCCCTTCTCCGCCTACCCACTGCTCTCCTCTTGTTGCCCTCGTCTCTTTCACACCCCTCCCCCTCACCTCCCATCTTCCCCTCCTCATCATCATCACGAGCTTTCCTCTTCCCCTTCCCATTATCACCCCCAGCACCGCTCCCCCTTCCCCTCATCCCCACTCGGCCACCCACCCCATCCTCCCATGACCCACCCTCGTCTCTCTCCTCCCTTCCTCTCTCTTCTCCTCCCACACACTCTCTAACCTTCGTCCCTGCTAGCCCAGCACGTGCCTCCTCCACCCCCCTCCTCCCTTCTCCCCTCATCCCACCCTCAGCTGCACCCAATCCCACTTTTCCAACCGAACCTTCCCCCACAACCCCCCAACCTCCCCTCCCTTCCATATCCCGTTCCATCCCTCTCAACCCCTCTCCGCCCCGCTCCCTCGCCCTCTCTCTCCCCACTCCCTCCTCCACTCCGCCCCCCCTCTCCGCGCGCCCCTCCTCTCCCCCCTTGGCCAGCAGGCGGAACTCTCTAAAGAGCGCCCCATACGCGGACCTGAGCAGCCTCTCCCCCTCGTTATAGTCACCATCCAGGCAGTTGGGGCGGCGGGGGTTCATATTGGGTCCCACCACGTGCACCACGTGCCTTACCCCCTCACGCACGCGCAGAGGGGAGGAGAGGGGCAGGGGTGCGGAGAGAACAGAACCAGGGGGGAGGAGGAGGGGATGTGGTTGGGGAGGAGGAGGGGATTGGGGTTGGGTCGAGGGAGGCTCATGCGATTCCTGCTGCAAGTGAGACTGGTGCGTCTCCCCACTTGGCTTCGGCTGCGCCCAGTACTGCCCATGCCCCTGATGCTGCCCATGCTGCTGCTGCTGCTGCTGCATCTGCTGCGTCTGCATCTGCTGATCCTGCTGCTGCTGCATCTGCTGCGTCTGCATCTGCTGATCCTGCTGCTGCTGCTGCTCAAGACGCTCCTGCTTCTCCTGCATCGCTGTCTGCTGCTGCTGCTGTGTCTCATTCTGCTGCTGTTGCTGCTGCTGTTGCTGCTGCTGCTGCCACTTCCGTCGTGTCGCCTCAATGAGGCTTGGGCCGGCAGCACTGTGGACGGCTGCATTCACTCCGCCCCCACCCGGTAACAGACGGCTGCACACACACACAGAGCACAGCACACACACAGAGCACAGCACACACACAGAGCACAGCACACACACAGAGCACAGCACACACACAGAGCACAGCACACACACAGAGCACAGCACACACACAGAGCACAGCACACACACAGAGCACAGCACACACACAGAGCACAGCACACACACAGAGCACAGCACACACACAGAGCACAGCACACACACAGAGCACAGCACACACACAGAGCACAGCACACACACAGAGCACAGCACACACAGAGCACAGCACACACACAGAGCACAGCACACACACAGAGCACAGCACACACACAGAGCACAGCACACACACAGAGCACAGCACACAGAGCACAGCACAGCCAAGAGAGGATGCATATCGCACAGTATAGTATATCATTCAGTATAGTGTACTGAACAGTGCAGAAAATGGCCATATAATGGATGGACGCATACGGTAATGTGTATAAACAACAACAACAACGCATGCCATATATGGACCACATGTTACTGTATGCGCCGATGCATGGTGCCAGCAGCATTCCATGCCATGCCACGTCAGCCTACCAGTTTGCCGAGTTTGCAATGACGTGGCATTCAATGCCGCCATCCGACCTCATCTTGGTGATATCCCCCGCATGCAGAATGAATCTGCCACGTGTGCTGTCATCCCACGTGTCTCTGTCACCGCCTCTGCCAGCCTTCCTTCCCTCTCTGCCCCCTTCTCCTGCAGCATTGCCATCACACACATCGCCAGCCCCTGTACCAGTAGCGCCATTGCATCCACCTGCAGCAGCAGCCACAGGAGGAGCAGCAGAGGTGTCTACAGCAGCGGCAGTGGTGGCAGCAGCAGCAGTGACAACAACTGCAGCAAAGGCAGCTGCAGATCCTCCCTCCCGTCCAGGTTCAATGAACTGTCTCGCCTTGTGCTCTCCTCTCTCTCCACCATCCGTTCCACGCCTAAGCCGTCCAGATTCAACGAACGGCAGCCCCCGCTGGCGAGCCAGGCGCTTCACTCTCCTGAGCATGTCAGAGGAGGGGGAGAGATCCACCAATACGAGGTCCAGGATCGGACGGCGCTCAAGCGTCTCTTGCTTGGGCGAGGAGTCAGACACTGTAGACGATGTGTTGACACCGGCCGGCGATCTTTGTCTCTTCTCTGGTGCTCCGGGTGGTGAAGTTTGTCTCACTTCTCCAGGTGCTAAGGGCCTCTCTTTAGCTGCTGCCACAGGCTGTTCGTGTCTGGTACTGGTACCGTTATTGTCACCTCCGTTTCCGTTGACGCTGCAGCTGCCCATGCCACTGGCACCGTTACTGTCACCGTTCCCGTTGCCGTTCCCCCTTTGCCGCCGTGCATCCCTTACAGCAGCAGCAGCAGCAATAGCAGCAGCAGCAGCAGCAGCAGTAGCAGCACTAGCATCAGCGCTACTGCCAGCAACCTCACCACCAGCACCACCACCATCGCCTGCACCAGTGTCAGCACCCCCACCACTTGTAAGCCTCCCTTCAAATCTGCTCCCTTCTCTCCCTCCTCCCACCACATCACCCGCACCACCCTCACCATTCTCACGATCCCCACCACCCTCGCCACCCACTCTGCCCTCGCCCGCACTCCTGGCAGTGGTGCTGCCGTGGCTGCTGCCCCGTTGCGCCAGAGGAACTCAGTGACGCAGTCAAGCACCACTGCAGCCGCCCTCTCCCTGTCAAACTTGAAATCAGCCGTTGAGATGGACGGAAACGCCAGCACCCACCGCCCTGCTGCCTCCTGCTGCTGCGCTTGTTGTTGCTGCTGCTGCTGCTGCGGCGGTGGCTGTGGCGGCTGCTGCTCCTCCTCGTCTTGCTCATCGTCCTTCTCCTCTCCCTTGTTTCCGTCCACCTTCCAGTGATCTCTGCGCTCCCCCCTCTGCTGATCGTGCTCGTCGTCCTTGCCTCCTCCCTCCCCTCCTCTTTGTCGACCCTCGTTCTTCTCAGCCCCCTCATTAGCGGCAGGAGCAACCTGCTCACATCTGTCTTGCCTCAACCCATACGAGCCCTCCAGGTTCCAATGTGCTTGCACATGTCGCCATTCACCCCCCTCTGTTCCCCGCCCATCCGCGCAACCCTCCCCCCGTCCATTGATGAGCCTTTCCCCGTGCGCATCCACAAGGCCCTCCCCCCGCCCGTCCACGAGGCCTGCACCCTAGAAGCAGCGGTAGCACGCGGGGCAGTGAGAGAGGGAGACGGTGGGGGCGAGGGGCGAGGGTGAGAGAGTGAGAGCGGAGCACTCGTGGAAGAAAAGCGGCACACGTGGTATCTTGAGGTGTCTCGACAAAAGCGCTTTATGACATGTCACCGGAGCAAGCTTTTGCCGAGATACCTTGAAAAGAAGAACTGGGAGAAAGATGGGAGTCTGGGGTTGGAGGTTAAAGCGAGGGATGGAAGAGTGCGAGGAACGGTGCCAGTGGAAAGGGAACGTCCTCCCACCTGCGTTTTGCTCGCTATACGTGTGCACTCGTCTTCTCTTCCACCATCGCTCCATTTCACACTTCTCCTGCTCCTGCTGCTTCTCCTGCTGTTGCTGCCGCAGCCTCTGTTCTTCGAGCTGCTGCTTCCGGTGCTCCTCCTTCTCGCTCTGTTCTGCTTCTGCCATCGCTTCCCCATGTTTCTCGCATCTCCATCCATCAACCTCATATCTCCTCCCTCCGCTGCTACCCATCCCCGCATCCCCGTTAATAGCAGCTTCCTGTTTGGCACGAAAGAACTGCCTCACATCATACACTCGAGCCTGTGGCATACTATGATCGCCTACTCTACTTGTGCCCACATTCCTACCTTCCGTTGCTCTACTTGCCACAGCCTCTGCTGCAGGCAAAGCAGCAGCTACAGCAGCAGTCACAGAAGCAGCTACAGAGGCACGTGACTCTACTGCTCCCACGCCTACGTCTACCCTACCAGCCGCACCTTGACTCCGACCAAACGACATGGTTCGCAATTGCTTCGTCTCCTCTTCTTCTCGGTTTCTCAATGCCCTTTGCTGCTCTCCCTCCCCTCCTGCTCCCTCTTTCGCTCGTCTCTCTCTATTCCCATCGCCCTCCCTTTCTCTTCTTCTCTCTACCACCCTCCCCTTTCCCTCCCCATCCCAATTCTTCTCACCGCCATTTTCTAGATCCCTCCCCTCCCCCTCCCCATACGCTCCTCTCCCTCCCCTACTCTCCGCCACATTCCTTCCCCCCTTCCCATCCCCCTCCACATCCCTCTCCCCATTCCCCTGCCCCTCCCCGCGCGCCCTCGCTCCCAACGCGGCTGGTCGCTCCTGGGTTCCTGGCGTGGCAGCAGCAGAAAAGGTAGGATCAGATCCCAACACACGAGGAGCACCTACAGCAGCACGGAGTGGAGCAGTAGCAGCAGCAGCAGAGAGAGGAGCAGTAGGAGTAGCAGCACGGCTACACACTACACCGTGGGAGGGTGCGCTTGTGCTCACCCGCTCTCTCTCCGCACGACCTTGCCACCATAGACGCCCTGGGCCCTCCCGACCTCCCTGCCCCGCTCCCTCTGCTCCCTCTGCTCCCTGTCCCTGCGCTTGCGCATCTTCCCCCCTTCTCCAGTGCCCCAGCTGCATCTCCCGTACCCGCGCGTCTAGCTCCTCTTCCCCCTGCCTCTGCTGCATTCCTTGCACCTCCAGCCTTCCTCCTCCCGCCCCTTGCAGCCCCACCAAGCCAGGACCCTCAGCAGCTCCACCACCACTGGCAGCAGCGAAAGCGGAGGGGCAGAGGGCGCGGTAGAAGGCGAGCGCCTGGTCCACGTGGGCGTCGGTGCGGCACACAGTGACGCGCTGAAAGCTCTCCGCCGCAGCCGGCGGCTCGCGCATCTTCATCTGGTGTCGTATGATGCCCGCCGCCCTGGGGCCCTGCAGGGTGAGAGGCAGAGGGGGGTGCGAGTTAAGGCCTTACAAGCATACGCCTGCTCTCGGTCAGCTCCACTCACTCCGCCCTCGTGGTTGACGCGGTTAACCCCCTACTTCCAATAATTCAATTGCCATCCTCCCCTCGCACCTGCACGCCACCCTCGTGGTTAACTCGGTTGACCGCGCGCTGCACGACGAGCGCCACGGGAAGCTCGAATACGAGCACGTGCGACTGCACGTTGCAGGCGCGCGCGAGCGCGAGGAACTCGGCGCGCTGCTCCACGCTCATGTTGCAGCGATCCAGCACCACGCTCGCCCCTGACAGTAGGTGGCGCCTCACCTGCGAGGGGAGTGAGTGGACGAGGGAGAAGAGGTCGAGGGAAGAGAGTGAAACATAGGAAGAGTAAGGGAGAGAGGAATGGCTTGACAATCACTGACTGACGATGACCGATGGCAGTCAATCGGATGGAATGCAACGGAGATTTTGTGACCTCGCAGAGAGCACGCACTGAACAGCCAGAAGGGTTCGGGTAACAAACGGTTTACACTCACTTGCGCCAAGCACTGCTTCCGAGTGCCAGGAGTCCCTCGCGCTGACGCCACGTCCTGAAACCAGAAACCGCATGAGAAAGGAACGTTACAGGTTGGATAAAATGGACTGTAACGGAAACTGGTGAAGACTCATGAGCCTGAAGACTCATGGAGACTTTACAACACTCCTGGTACGACTAATACGTTATGCCTGGATACTCCATCTACGACCCTTTAGTATGCACACATGGCATGACTCGAGGCATGTCAATTAAGCCTTAGAGTCCAACTGTATCATGGCCTTCACTGTCGTAGTCAAAACGCTCTGCTTGAAGATCATCATATCGACAGCGTGTTCGATATCATATTTTTTCTTAGTGAACTAAGTGACGGTTCTCTGTTTTCTAAAATCGAAGTACAGATAGCGAGGCAGACCTGGCAAACGCGCTCATATCGTAAAGCGGCATCCGCGATCAAGAGTCCGGCAAATCTGCTCTTGCCGCTGCCTGGCGTGCCGACGAGGACCAGCAAGAACGGGAACGGACGAGGATTGAAGTGGGATACGGGTCGCGCCTCTGTCGCCGGTACAGTTGACGGCGGCTCGGGTCTGGAATCCATTGTGCCTGGAATACATTGATTTTGAGGATCCATGACACTCGGTTACAACTCACGCAGCTACGACAGAAGCTAATGATTCACCAGGAGTTGATGGTAACGCAAAACTCCATGAACACCTGACCAATGAAACTGCTGATATTCTTAGCATCCGCTCGTGCAGGCTTCAAGAAGGAACAAAATATCCGCGAAAAATCAACATCTTCAGTTGGGGTGGTGAGGTGAGTTCTCCCGTCTTGTCACTGAACAACAGCATAGCAGGGATATGGCTCCTCCTGCCTGAAGCCCAGCTGGAAGCTGGTTCAAGTGCTGCGTGCCTCGGCTAGGCACAGTTGCATGTCATGGCAGGAACAAAAAATCCCAAGGAGCCACAACCACAAACACAGGAGCGACGACGGCCGTTGGATGCTCCATGGATTCTTGGAAAAGCGTCTCGCACTTTCATTGCCAACAGGATTGATCTGATCTGGAAAGGGAGCTGCACGAGGAAGCTGGCATGACACAAACCAAGGACCGAACCTCAGGCCCGTGAAGTGTTGGGGTAAAATACGTGGCTCATGAAGCACCTCGATTTTGGTGGTTGGAAACGGGAGGGCGACCCTTGCAGGCTCGGGAGCACATCTGGGCAAAACTGACCCTGACGCAGATAGATTATGTGTGGCTGAGAGTGGACTGGACTGTACACTCCAAAGCAAAACTCCTTCCAGTTCTTAGCCTAGATATTGTTAAATTATACTCTCAAAAACTTTACATCCTTTCATGCAGAAAGTTCCTCCTCACATCACCGCATAACGTGAGGTGCTAGTGTGGTTTCCGTGTTGCTTTTTATGCGTTACGGATAGTTTTCCCACATGGAAGAGACTAAACCTGCTGAATATTTATATGGTCCTGTTTCTTGTGTCCACAGAAATTATCACTATATGGATGGATAAGGACGTCCAAAACATCAGATTCTGATAATCGTTGATCCCTCCATAAGGAGGCATAGTCGTTTGATGTGCTGCGGGGGAAAAAAACTGGAGATGCGGGGTATCGATCCCCGTACCTCTCGCATGCTAAGCGAGCGCTCTACGATCTGAGCTACATCCCCGGCGGTCGCGGAGACATAATTTTATGTCCGTGTGTCTTATAATTGTTAGGTACCCAATTTACGTCTGATTCTTTTTTTGTCTCCCACTCGTCTTTACAGCTCAGCTGTATCTCGTTTTGCCTTGTCACTCCAGTCTTTAATATTCACACACATCACCAGTATGGCGATCTCCTTCGGTGATCTGTCGACCCCTGATGGTCTGAAGCAGCTCGACGAGTACCTCCTCACCCGCAGCTACATCTCTGGGTATGGATCCTCGAGGGGGTTCAGGGTTTGCATCTTTAAGTCCCTTATGACCCTAGATCTGGTCGCGTTTCCGGCTCCCCCTTCCATTTCAATATACGCTTCTTTTCGTTGAGCCCCCTGTCCCCTCGTCCCTGATATTTTTCTCTTTCTGCTTCTTTCCCCAATATGCACATGTGTGTTCTACCTTTCGTTTCCGATCTCTTCTTGTGTCGCAGCTTCCAGGCGTCGCGCGATGACCTCACGGTCTACAGCGCGCTTAAGTCGTTCCCCAAGGGCTACACCAACGCGGCGCGGTGGTACACGCACATTAAGGCGCTGCTCGGCGCAAAGTGAGTCATTAGCTACGTTCTTAGTGCAGTGTTTTTTTGAGTGAATTATTGATCTCGAAGGCCCTATTAAACCTTTTTTATATCTGTCTTGTCTTCACGTGAGTTGGACATACCTGATCCGAGTTTGTTGTATTACCGTCGCCGATCTGTAACCGCCAGATTTACAACCCTCGTCCGCTTCGAGACTTCGTTGTATCTCGTAATATGATTTATTCCTGGTTAGGATCCGTGACGATGTTATCGCATCGTCGCATCTTTCGACGCCATTTCATCCCGTCTTCCCGCTTGGTGTCTGTCCCCCTGTTCCCAGCTTCGCCGGCGCCGGCGTGGGTGTGGTGATCGGCGGTGCTGCGCCTGCCGACGCTGCTCCCACTGCAGCTGTCGCCACTCCCCCCGCTGCCGATGCGGAGGCCAAGCCCGCTGAGGTATGCCGATGAGCTGAGGTGTGTTGCAGAGCTGGGGTGTGCTGATGTGCTCAGGTCTGCCAATGAGCTGGGTTGCGCCGATGAGCTGAGCTGTGCCGTTGAGATTTGTTGCTGGTTAGATTCGTGTGTGATAGATTAACGCCGACTGATCGACGCTGTCCTTATTCTTGACCGTGCGCGAGAGGGCTGAGTGCATGTGTTGTAAAGGGGACCGCAGATCGAGGTAATGACGCTGCCTCTTGCAGTGTGCTGTCGATGGCGTGCTGCATCTGAACGCTTCAAGCTCAATTCCGGTTTGGAGCTGGCAGTCACACCTAACAACTTCAGAACACTGTCACTTGTGTTAGTTTTCGCATCCGACAGTTACAGTCAGATCTATCATCTCGCAGCCCCACGATGTGTCGTTGCGGTCGTCAGGCCCCATCCACTCTTGATTGATGAGGCGCGTCTTTTACATTCTTTTCCAAACCCCCCCCCCCTCTCCCTCTCCCGCCTCCCCCCGCCCCCATCCCCGCCCCCGCACCCTCATTGATGACTGCGGCCGTGCGTTGGCAGGACGAGGAGGACGACGACGACCTGGATCTGTTCGGCGAGGCCACGGAGGAGGAGAAGGCTGCCGCGGCCGAGCGCGAGGCCAAGGCGGCCGCGTCTGGCAAGAAGAAGGAGAGTGAGTATCATCCTGACCTGGCCGTATGCCTGAACAATCTTTATCTCTACGGGGTTTTCGGTCTTTAGTTGTGCCGTTTGTGTCTTCACGACGTGCGAAAGGCCGCGTGTGACTGACTGAATGTGGTGTGCGTGCGTGTGGTTGCATGGCAGGCGGCAAGTCGTCGGTGCTGCTGGACGTGAAGCCGTGGGACGACGAGACGGACATGGCCAAGCTGGAGGCGGCCGTGCGCAAGGTGCAGATGGATGGCCTGCTCTGGGGCGCCTGTGAGTACCCTCCATTTTCGTTTTCACTTTTTATGTACACTGTGTTTTTTATGGCGTTGGACTAGTGTTATGGCCTGGGTCCCTGCTCATATATGTCACGTGTAATTCCTTACAATACTTTTCGCTCTGTTCCTTGCCTGCTACCCTGCACAGCCAAGTTGGTCCCTGTCGGGTACGGCATCAAGAAGATGACGATCATGATGACCATCGTGGACGACCTTGTGTCGCTGGATGAGCTCATTGAGGACCACCTGCAGCAGGGCGAGGCGGCCGAGTTCATTCAGAGCTGCGACATTGTGGCCTTCAACAAGATCTAAGGTGGGAGGATGGAAGTGTTGCATTGGTTCCGTTGAAGTCGTCGTCGTACGAACGGGCTCCTCACATTTTCCTCTCTTGCGTGCAGGAAGCAGGCTGGATATTGTGTTTTCATAAGCTGAAGGCATGTCCTGTTAGTAGGGCGTGTGTGCCAATGCGGTTGCCATAGTATTGTGATAAGTTAGATGGATGGATCAATGAAATCAATCAGGTCTGAAATGGAAACATGCTTTTCTCCTTTTATCTGGTACCCTAGGAGAGTGTAGAACTAGTAGGATCATTGGGTCTCGGTTTTAGTATTCCCACTTTCGCGCCTAATTGGCTGGGACGGGCCGGTTGGGTTCTTCCCCACGCGTTTTTGGCTAGCCCCACCGCCTCCATGCCGTTGTCAGCTGGCATCGCTCGTCGCTCCCGAAGCAGCCAGCGCAGCTCGATGGCTCCCTCGGTCGTCAGGTTCGAGGTATCGCTACACCAATCTGAATTCTTGAAGTCCCCGACCGAGTCATCGAGCCTACTTCACCAATCGGAGAATCTGGTCACTGGTCTGCTCTGGGGCTCTCCGAGCCTGACAATCCACTGTGTTCTCCGAGAAAGCATCACGAGGAATTTCTGTGTGCAGGTGAGGTGACAGAACAGAATCCGTCGTTTGTATGTGTCAGCGAGAAGGCAGGCACCGCACCAGAAGCAGGGAGGGGACAGCCATAGTTGACTGGAGAGACAAGCGCGTATCGTCTCGTGTCGTCTCTCCGCTTACGTCTTCGATACGAATCCATCTGGTTTAGTAAAAATAACGTGTCTAAGTAGAATAGGCGTCTGGAACTCTATGCTGTACTATGTACGATTTACGGAGACATCTGGAACGACATTAGGCTATAGCGTCGTGTGGAGGACCTTCGGAGAATTTACAGCTGCTGTTCGTTGTAGAAACTAGTGCACCAACTTAGGTGGAGCAGGTTCGCATTGGTTGACCGCAGGATGGGTTACGGTGTGCCTATAGGTGACTGGACGACGTCATGCACGGATTGCCACGAAGACTGTGCAACCAGTAGGTTCTTCGACACTGAGATGCAATTATGCCGTCCGTGCTGTTCCCCAGCGTGGCTCCTGATCACGGTGTCGTACTTTTGTCTAACAGGTTTTACTTCTAGGTAGCTTGTTTAGCAGTTCGTACGTTCATGTCGCTGACGGCTTGGATTTTCTGTGCCCTTGTTTGTTATCGTGTGGCCAGCGTGCTGTGCCCTTTTTTGTCCGTGCGTCCTCGTGGGGCGAACAACAGAAATCGTCACCGACGGCGAGTCAGGTTAGCTACGCTTACGAACCCCCACAATCGCAGAGCCGCATTGCCTTTCCTCGCATTGTTCCTGAGTCGTGTCTTTCATTATGTGAGTGAATTAACAGCTCGATATCTTGATCAACTGAAATCAGCTCATTTTGCATTCCGTTCTCTTACTGGGTCAACTTTGAACAGATGCGACGACATCGTGCTGTCTATTCTTCCTCTTCCAATTAGTAATGCTTGGATGCCTTTATTCTCAAGGTGAGGGGTTCTGCTATGTTTATTTTTGTGAGCGAGCCAGTAATCAAATGAAAAATATAATGTTTCGTCCATTCCATCCTCCTGGCTCCGCATTTCGTATTGCTGACTCGGCGAATCTATTGAACTGACAGGAGTTCGGAACAAGCTACGACAGAAATACGTTCTACCTCCGCGACCCTGCGGTGACTGCTTAATGCATTGCGCATGCTTGTGCTGCTCTGTCGCTCAAGAAATTAGAGAGCTTAAGAATCGAGGATGGGACCCAAAACGAGGTACGCTTTTCACACATGGTCGCTGAACTTGCGCCTGTATCTGTCTTATAGCTTTCATGAATCCTGTGGTACCTGATGAGATTCTGGAAAGTACATTCCTGTCTGCGTGCTCACGAAAGTATATTGTGCTTCTTTTCAGGCTATGAAGAGAACATGCGGATACTTCAAGCAAGAGGCTTGCCACCTCCGCCACAGTCAATGTTGCGCTGAGCTGAAGTGAGCAAACGCAGTCACTTGCAGGCTCTTTATGGCATCCATCTTGCGCAATCATCCTATGAACTCCATGCCTACCTGGAGTTGGGGTGTTTAGTCAAATAAAGAAAAGCACTCTCCCATTGAAGATCTTCAAAACCTGCATGGATTTGTAGGTCGCAGGAAGTACGGTAAAGAGCTGACAAGTTTTTTTCTGTTGAGAAGTGCATTCACCTCTTCCATAACCTCAGCAGCCGGCATCACCAACATGGTTCCGCCACTCGATGCCACTCACCGAAGTACTTCGTCGGGAAATTCCTGCCATGTTCGTGCCTTGGTAGTAAAACCATGAAGTCTCCATCCATCAATATTCTGAGTGGTTGGGTGCTGCTGGCTTGACCCTGGTGGTGCATGTGAACTCCTGTGCTCTTGCAAGAAAGCTACCAGTTCGGTTGTATCACTATGTGCCATGGTTTTTGCCCAAATGATCCATTACTTTTGAGCTGGTTAGTATGCGGATGCAGAACTCTATGTGCAGTTGCTGTTCACTTCACACAGCAACGCGGCACCGACAGGTCTAGGCTGTGGTAGGTACCGTGCCTCAAATCTCTCAAATCCCAGTGCTGATGTCGGTCCCTCTCCCAACGCATTCTGCACGATGGCAAGCCCTGAATGCGTCACGCGTCGCCCTTCACGCCGAGCCAAACCAGCCCACTGCCCTGCATTCTCGCGAGATGCGACCCGACCTGCCCATGCCTAGAATTAGCCCAGCTCTACCCAAACCAAACCACCGCTACCCCAGCTTACTCTCATTCCCTCCCTACCTACCCGAGCAAACCAAACCGCCTCGAGAACGAAAAGACGAAGAGGCCATTGGCCTCGCCCACACAGACCAAGCGTGGCTCGGGCATGAGGAGGGTGCAACCAAACGGGGAGCGGGGAAGAGGGATGGGTGGTGGAGGTGGAGGGCAGCGAGGAAACTGCCGTGTTGGTCGCCTGGGGTCTCCCATTTGACGGTCGGACAGGTTAGGATCTTTAGGTAGCCGGATTGGCTGCCTTTATGTGATCGTTCATACGGTATATCCAACAAAGGGCTTGGCGTGTGACACCGTACTTTATTTTGAAGGGCCTGATAAACACACATTGAACGGAAGGGGATGCATGCTTTGCTGTCTGACGTACAGGCTGGTGTAGGAAGCATTACTATAAGTGTACCCCTAACCCTTGGTGCGAGGAACATTAGCAGCGCACTCAACTCGCACCCAACCTACCACGCTGTCTCCTGCACTCCCATGCTCTCTCCAGCTCCCATGCTCTCTGCACCTCTCACTCTCTCTCTCCAACACTCCTCTCGTCCATGCCAACCACGCTCTCCGCCACTCCACGCTCACCATGCCTCCCACAGTCGTCACACCACTCCCACTCTCTCCGCCACTCTCTTCTCTCAACCACGCCTCTTACCGTACTATTTACTCGCCTCTCACTTTCTCCGCGGCGCTGACGATCCCTCCGCCACTTCCACGCTCCCTGCGCCTTCCACGGTCCTCACACCCCTCGTGCTCTCTGCCACTCTCTTCGCGCGACCATGCCTCTTACAATCACCTTCTCACGCTTTCCGCACCACTCACTCATGCTATCACTGCCATTTCTTCTCGCGTCCGCGCCTTCCAATCTCTACGCGCCTCTGACGCTCCCTGCGCCACCCCCACTTTCTCAGTGGCGTTCACAGTCATTCTGAGCCTCTTACGGTGTGCTCTCTGTGTGAAACTATATTTGATTAGGCTAGGTTGCTTAGGTTGAGGCACTATGTAGTGAGTACAGTATTGTTGATATGAAACTTGTTTGCTTTTGTGGTAGTCATTCTGTTGGGTTCTATCTTTGACACAGGTATCATAATGCGACGCTCGGCAATCCCATTAGGGCATGTTCCTACGCTCGTATCAGGCAAACCTCTTGGCAGCCTTCCTGGTAAAAAGTAGCGAGAGTTTTTGGGTTTAGGAAAATTTCAGTGGTAAAAGTAGCGAGCTTGATAAGAGGTTGGCCTGATAAAGGGCCGTGAGTTCACATCTGGTCGGGTTGAGCAGTTTTATCGCGCGCACGGCATTCGCCAGTCGTTTATATTTCGTACTCTGTAAGGCTTGACTCTTTCACGAGCGGGAATGCCTTATTTCACATCGTAACAATGCTCTTGCATAGATTGTGCCTTTATTCCCAGGACAGTCAATTAAAAAACCTATCGAATGTGAAATGGCTAATGAAAACAGATACATACGGGTACGTAAATGAGAAGCACACCCTGGAGACTGTAGGGTGGATGCGGCTATGTCTCTGGGGCCATGCCCGTTTGGATTGAAGATCCCAAGGAACGCGAGCCGACGAAAATAGCAGCAGCTAGAAGCTTGATTTCATGTGTGTGCTTCTTGGCGTCGCACCTCACGCGCTGCTGCCTCAACGACCCTCTCCTGCGCTCTTGCGTCCTATCTAGCAAAGTTTTGCGAGATCCTTCCACCGTGCCCTCGTGCGACCTTCGTTTACCACCATGGATGCATTAGCGGACGTTGGTCGCCTGCGAGCCACGTCAGCAGGGAGCATTCTCTCTTGCGCTCCCAGCGTCAGCGGCAGCGGCAGCCGAAGCATCTCCAGATCCGGTCCGCAATCCTTCTCTCCGTTCCGCATGCCTGGTGGTAACACCATGGTGCTCTCTTCCCGCCGTTTCTGCTCGCTTTCAAGTTCGCGTGCGCGATCGTCATCGTCGTCGTCGTCGCGTGCGGATCGCCGAAACCCTCTGTGCGACCGGCGAACGTCGCTTTTCGGCCAGCGACTGCCGTGCGACGGAAGTCGCACGACGACATCCATGCGAGTGCGGTCGCGGAAGAGCAGGCGCGGAGATGACAGGCCAAACATCGAGGGAGGAGGGGTTACACGTGGCACGCCCTCTTTGGTTTGCTCGTCCAAGGTGGACGACGTGCCGCACCTATCCGAGTGGATCCCCGACCTCCAGGTAGGCTAAAGGGAGATGTGCCACGTGGCATTCTTGTGGTCGTATTGCGGAGATTATTTGCCGTGTCTTAAACGGCAAGTGTGCATTTGCAAAGAAATGTGTCGGATTGTAGGCTGGATTACGAAATGATTAATATTCGTTGGTCTCTGTGTGTGACTGCTTGTGTGCGTGAGTGCAGACGTACAGCAATCCACTGGTACTCAATCCAGCCTACGCCTACGTTGAGTGAGTGCTCTACGCGTCACCCTCTCCGCTCGCTCCTGCTCCTGCCATTTGAGTCGATAAAAAATTTCTGCATTGCGATAGTATCAGCCCAGCATACACCGCGCTTTTCACTCGCTTTGCTCTCTCCGGCTCCTCTCCTGCCTTTTGCAACTCAATCAGCTGTTTTGCAGTCAGAATTATACCAGGATATCACATGTACGTCTCTGGTTTGGTATCAGCAGGCACGTAGACATGTTGATTATGCATGTAGGCACTGATTGTACGTTCACGCCCTGATCGTGCACTGCACTTCAGCAGAAAATGTGCATTCAAGCATTGCTGTTGCACACCAATCATTACTCTGACTTCAAGCACACCCCTTTCCCCCCACCCTTTCCCCCCTTTTTCTCCCCATGTGCCCCTGTACCCTGCCTACCAACAACCCCCCCCTTCCCCCCCCCCCCCCACACACGCACTCCCTTGCACTGGCTGCAGTCAGTATTTCGTAGAGCCCAACGACATGGTGTGCCAGCAGGTGAGCCCTTTTCCCTCCCAGCAAGCACGCTCAAGTTGCGCGTATCGTTTTCTCCCTCCCACACCCGCACCTGCTCCCGTTCTCCCTCCCACACCCGCACCTGCTTCTGTCTACCCTCCCACAATCTTCTCAATCCAGAAGGGTGCTTGCTGTACTGCTCCCTGCCTATCTCTCTCCCCCCGTGCAACCCCTTCCAGGTGTCGGCCCGTCTATCAGATCTGGACAGCATCAGCTACTTTCGCAGAGCAGGGCCCAGGGAGAGGGTAAGCAGACTTGCTTTAGCACAGCTGGTGAAGTTGAAACGTGAAGGGAGGGGTTGGGAGGGGTTGGGAGGGGTTGGTACTGGACGCGGGCTTGCATGCTTTTGTGAATGGGTTGTTTCGTCACTGCATTCTCTGCTGCTCCGTTCCCCCTAATGTGTTTAAACCGCTATGGGTCTGTGTGTTGATCATGCTGACGTTTTTTGTGTGGGGTGGCATGGGGTAGGGTGTTGTGGCATGGCATGGCATGGCATGGCACGGCATGGCATGGATGGCGTTGGAGGGTATGGTCCTGTGCTGTGTGCTTGGCATGGCATCGTATTGTGTGGTGTGGCACTGTGGCATTGCATGACCTGAATGTTGCTGATGGAATGGGATGGCATGTCAAGGCACGGAATGCATGTGGTTGGCGCGTGTGGCATGTGCCATGGTATGGCATGGCGTGGCATGGCATAACATGTGGCATGACATATTGCATGGCATGTGGCATGGCGTGGCATGGCGTGGCATGGCACGACATGTGGCATGGCGTTGCAACTTGCATCGCATGGCTTGTGGCATGGCGTGGCTTCGCATGGCGTGTGGCATGGCGTTGCATCGCATGGCGTGGCATCGCATGGCGTGTGGCATGGCGTTGCATCGCATGGCGTTGCATGCCATGGCGTGGCATGGCATGGCGTGTGGCATGGCAGATTGTGTACCACCCACGGGAGGTGCGGGCAGCCATAGTGACATGCGGGGGGCTGTGCCCGGGACTCAACACTGTGATCCGCGAGATTGTGTGGGGGCTCTGGTTCCAGTACGGTGCGCGGCACATTCTCGGCATCGATGTGAGTGACTTATTCCAGCAAACAGCGCAAAAGCATGTGGGAAGCAGGTTCGCGCATGCGCGATTGGAGAGATTGTGTGGGGGCTCTGGTTCCAGTACGGTGCGTGGCACATCCTCGGCATTGATGTGAGTGGCTTATTCCAGCAAACAGGCATGTGGGAAGGAAGCACATGGAGAAAAGTGGGGCCCACGTGCTTTTATACTTATCTGGTCATATGCGAGGTCCCTTGAGGATATTCCAGCGTCCTTTTCCTTCTGATCAGTCGCTCTACTTCCATCCATCCCCACCTTTCCCCTCCCCACTCAACTCCTCCCTCATCCTTTTCCTTCCCCACGCGCAGGGCGGGTACCGCGCAGGGCGGGTACGGCGGCTTCTACTCACGTAACCTCATGGAAAAGAACCCGCGGGTGATTCACGACATCCACGAGCCCTCCCTCCATCCTCCCCCCTCCCCCCTCCCTGTATCATATCACACGCGCAGGGCGGGTACAGGGGCTTCCACCCACGCAATCTGATGGAAATGAACTTGTGGGATATTGAACCATGCTTAGAAGACCTAGTCCCACCTCTCTCAACCAATTCCCCATCCGTAATCTTCTCCCTTCAACACCACACGCGCAGGGCGGGTACCGGGGCTTCTACTCACGGAATCTGATGGAGCTGAACCCGTGGGTGATAAATGACATTCACAAACGCGGAGGAACCTTTCTGGGGACGTCCCGTGGCGGGCATGATACGACCCGGATTGTCAACTCGATTGAGGATAGAGGCATCAACCAGGTGAGGTGGTAACCAGGTGAGGTATAACTGGGTGAGGTGGTAACCAGGTGAGGTATAACTGGGTGAGGTGGTAACCAGGCGGGCTATTAACTAGGTTAGGCATCAACTGGGTGAGGTGTTAGCCAGGTGAGGCATCAACCAGGTGAGGCATCAACCAGGTGAGGCATCAACCAGGTGAGGTGAGGCATGGACACACGTGTTAACAGCACAAATCACGTGACACTGATAGGACATGCACTCACTCATACATGCATCTTCCACGTAAAAGTACACTCAAACTCGCCAAATCCCTACCACATGTGCGCCCGTGGCATGGCATGGCATGGCATGACATGGGGTGTTATGGCATGGCATGGCGTGGGGAGTTATGGCATGGCTGGCATGGCGTGGTGTGTTATGGCATGGCATGGCATGGCAGGTGTTCATCATCGGAGGTGATGGCACACAGCGAGGGGCGGAGCTCATTTATGAGGTAGGCAGTGCAGGCGGGCAGGCAGGCAGGGAGGCAGGCGGGCAGGGAGGCAGTCAGGCAGGGAGGCAGGCGGGCAGGGAGGCAGGCGGGCAGGGAGGCAGGGAGGCGGTCAGGCAGGGTGGCATGGTGTAGAAGGGCACAGTTGCACGCACGCACGTGCTGGCAGCACATACAATTTTGATTACCGTTTGTGGTCGTCCCAATGTTGACTCTTCTCCATCGCCCATCCCTTGTTGCCCGTCCCTCGCTTCCCCTTCTCCCACACGTTCTTCTTCCCTTTCCCTGCGCTCGACGCCCCACTGCTGCACGTGTCCCATTCTTCTCCAAGCAATGCCCCTCCCTGCGTCTTTCAAGTCTCTTCCCGCTTCCACCACTCTTCTCACCAACGCTGTGCTGGGTGCTGTGCTGGGTGGTGGTTTTGGGTGGTGTGCTGTGCTGGGTGGGTGGGTGGGTGGGTGGGTGGGTGGGTGGTGGTGGTGGTGGTGGTGGTGGTGGTGGTGGTGGTGGTGGTGGTGGTGGTGGTGGTGGTGGTGGTGGTGGTGGTGGTGGTGGTGGTGGTGGTGGTGGTGGTGGTGGTGGTGGTGGTGGTGGTGGTGGTGGTGGTGGTGGTGGTGGTGGTGGTGGTGGTGGTGGTGGTGGTGGTGGTGGTGGTGGTGGTGGTGGTGGTGGTGGTGGTGGTGGTGGTGGTGGTGGTGGTGGTGGTGGTGGTGGTGGTGGTGGTGGTGGTGGTGGTGCAGGAGACGAGGAGGCGGGGTCTGAAGGTGGCAGTGGCGGGCATCCCCAAGACCATCGACAACGACATCGCTGTGAGTTGCTGCTCTCTGTGGGTATCCCACCCCACACCATCGCAAGTGGAGGGGGTCAAGGGTTCATGGGGGCAAAGGGGGCATGGGGGGCAAGGGGCAAAGGGGCAAGGGGTCCATGGGGGCAAAGGGGGCATGGGGGGCAAGGGGCAAAGGGGCAAGGGGTTCATGGGGGCAAAGGGGGCAAGAACGAGGGCAAGAAAGGGGGAAGACGGGGGCCAAGAAGGGTGAGTTCTGACATGACGGGTTGCAGCTTAGCTGGGTACCTACCTGCTATGTGTTCTTCGTCTTCGTGTTTCTTTCACCATACAGCGTTTCTTCCCTCACCTCATCCCTCTTCTCTGCTTTGTGCCCCATCAGATAATCGACCGGTCATTCGGGTTTGACACGGCGGTGGAGGAGGCGCAGAGGGCCATCAACGCCCCTCTTCCGCTCTCTCTCCCCGCTTCCCGCCCTTACACACGCCCCTCCATCAGATAATCGACCGGTCATTCGGGTTTGACACGGCGGTGGAGGAGGCGCAGAGGGCCATCAACGCTGCACCGCTCATCCGTTCCCGCATCCCCGTTTTGACCTCCCTTCCCTTGTGCCCCATCATCATCATCAGATAATCGACCGGTCATTCGGGTTTGACACGGCGGTGGAGGAGGCACAGAGGGCGATCTATGCGGCGCATGTGGAGGCGGAGAGCACCCGCAACGGCGTGGGGCTGGTGAAGCTCATGGGGCGGTACTGCGGGCAGATCGCCATGCATGCTACCCTTGCGAGCCGGGACGTGGTATGTGCTGTATGTGTGTGCGTGGTTTGTATGTGCGTCGTTCGTGTGTGCATATCCTTGCGGGCGTGGTCGTGTTCTGCTTTGAGCCATATCCATCACGGCTGGTGAAGCTCATGAGGCAGTACTGCGGACAGATCGCCATGCACGCCACACTAGCTAGCCGGGATTTGGTATGTGCTGCATGTGCTTTGGGCATGCTACAATTTGGAAGCACACTGCTCGCAGGGACATCACGGCTGGTGAAGCTCATGGGGCGGTACTGTGGGCAGATCGCCATGCGTGCCACGCTTTTTCATCTCCCCTCCCTCTCACTCCCCCCCAACGCCCCCAGGATTGCTTCCTGATCCCCAAGGTGCCCTTTCACCTGGAGGGACCCGGCAGGCTGTGTGACTTCATAGACCGACGGCAGCAGAACATGGCGCGGCACTACAGCACACCCGCTCCTCCCTCCTCGTTTTCCCCTCCCGCTCTCCTCCCATTCCACTCCCCATCCCCCACAACACCCCCCACAGAAACCCCATTCTCTTCCCCCCCCCCTCTTCCATTTCTCCCCGGCCCCAGGACTGCTGCCTGATTCCGGAAGTGCCCTTCCACCTGGAGGGCCCAGGAGGCCTGTTTGACTTCATGGAGCGGCGGCTGTACGAGAGCGAGCACTGCGTGCTGGTGGTGGCGGAGGGCGCGGGGCAGGAGAACACCCATCACACCACACCCCTCTTTCCCCCCTCCCCTTCCCCTCCCGCTCTCCTCCCATTCCACTCCCCATCCCCCACCTTTTTCTTTCCCCCTCCCTCCCCCCCACTAACGTCCCCAGGACTGCTGCCTTATTCCGAAAGTGCCATTCCATCTGGATGGACCCGGAGGCCTGTTTGACTTTATCGACCGGCGGCTGTACGAGAGCGAGCACTGTGTGCTGGTGGTGGCGGAGGGCGCGGGGCAGGAGAACACCCATCACAGCACACCCCTCCTTCCCCCCCCCTTCCCCTCCCGCTCTCCTCCCGTTCCACTCCCCATCCCCCACAACACCCCCCCACACACCCCTTTTTCTTTTCCCCTCCCTCCCCCCCACCAACGTCCCCAGGACTGCTGCCTGATTCCAGAAGTGCCCTTCCACCTGGAGGGACCCGGAGGCCTGTTTGACTTTATCGACCGGCGGCTGTACGAGAGCGAGCACTGCGTGCTGGTGGTGGCGGAGGGCGCGGGGCAGGAGAACATGGCGCGCCACATGAGCGCCAGCGATGATGACGTTGCTGGTGGTGCAGGGATGGGCCGCGACGCGTCGGGGAATGCGAAGCTGATGGACGTGGGGCTGTGGATGTCGGCTCAGATCAAAAGCCATTTCGCGAGGCAGCGCAAGGAGATCCAACTAAAGTACATTGGTGCGTGCGTGCGTGTTAGAATGGTTCAAGGGGTGCGAGTGGAAGCTGATGGACGTGGGGCTGTGGATGTCGGCTCAGATCAAAAGCCATTTCGCGAGGCAGCGCAAGGAGATCCAACTAAAGTACATTGGTGCGTGCGTGCGTGTTAGAATGGTTCAAGGGGTGCGAGTGGAAGCTGATGGACGTGGGGCTGTGGATGTCGGCTCAGATCAAAAGCCATTTCGTGAGGCAGCGCAAGGAGATCCAACTAAAGTACATTGGTGCGTGCGTGCGTGTTAGAATGGTTCAAGGGGTGCGAGTGGAAGCTGATGGACGTGGGGCTGTGGATGTCGGCTCAGATCAAGAGCCACTTTGCCAGGCAACGGAAGGAGATTCAGTTGAAGTATATCGGTGCGTGCGTGTGTATGTGAGTGCAGCAAGTGCTCTGGTGTGTGTCTGCGCAGATTCAGCTCAAGTACATCGGTGCGTGTGTGTGTGCGTGTGTGTGTGCGTGTGTGTGCGTGTGTGTGTGTGTGTGTGTGTGTGTGTGTATGTGTGTGTGTGTGCGAGTGGACAGAGTGCTTTCATGTGAGTGCGATGGGTGGACCCCTGTGCCAAACCACCAAATCGACATGCATGGCATCATTTACACCAGCCTTTTACACCAGCCTTTTGCGCCAAACAAGAAACACCCGCTGGCTGCCATCTTCTCCGCTCCCATCCACCATACCCATCATACCCCTCTACCCAATCGAGAAAAGTCCATGATCCGACATCCCAGCAATTTCTGAAGCACGCTGCTGGCGCACGGGCACCTCACCCAGTATTTCTCGTTTTCACTCTCGTTCACCCCCCTCTTCCACCAGACCCCACGTACATGATCCGAGCCATCCCCGCCAACGCGAGTGACAACATCTATTGCACGCTGCTCTATTGTCCTTCTCCTCTCCCCCTCCCTCCCCTCCCCGCACCAGACCCCACGTACATGATTCGGGCCATCCCAGCGAATGCGAGTGACAACATCTATTGCACGCTGCTGGCGCACGGGGCAGTGCACGGGGTGATGGCCGGCTACACCGGCTTCATTGTGGGCCCCGTCAACAACCGCCACTGCTACATCCCTGTCAATGTCAGTGCATCCACTTGCTCACCTCACTCACTCCCATCCTCACTCACTTCATTGTCGGCCCCTCTCATTTGTTCTCTGACCCCCTGCTTCTTTTCTTCCTAACACCATGTCTCTCCCTTCCCTTTCTCCGTTTCATTCCTCCCTGCCTCCACTCTCGCCCCACACCAGAAGATAACACAGAAGCCCAACAGCATCTCTCTCACCGACCGCATGTGGGCGCGCCTCCTCGCCGCCACCTCACAGCCCTCCTTCCTTCGCATCGACCCCACCGCCACCACTGCCGCTTCTGCTGGTGCTGATGGTGCTGCGGCTGGGTCTTCTCAGGTGCCAGAAGGGGGTGTGATCGAGGGGGAGTATGGGGAGAATGTCCTGGGGGATGTGGGGTTGGCGGCGAGTTATGCTCGGGATGAGGAGGAGGATGGTGCAGGGGTGGTGCGGAGTGTGTTGGAAGAGCTTGGGGAGGACATGGGGATGGATGAGTTGGATGTGGTGGTTGGGAATGGAAGGAGTGGTTATGCTGCTTCACATGCAGCTGCATTTGAAACGGATGATGAGGCAGCAATGAACGCTGGGGATGGAGTAGATGGAGGTTTGCAGAAATGACCGACTGGTGTGAGAAAGTGCTTAACACGTTCGTTGGTAGTAACGTTGAGTATTTATGCCATGACAAAAATCCAGTTATCTCATAGGTTTTTTGTATGTCCCTGATTCTTATTAATAGTTGCCCTTATTGTACAACAGAATTTCGAGCCATACTTCACTCTTAACGGGGCACCTTGCTTCGCTGGCATTCCGCGATCGGGGATGTTCTTCCAGTCGGCATTGGTGAACAGCGAACCCGGCTTCGAAGAGCCAGCGTTGAAGAGCCAGCGAGTCAGAGAGACCCAGATGGCTCTCCGGTTGTACTCTCATTTTCCGCCAATCGATTCCCCGAGCCCCCCCGCAGCGCCACTCGGCTCCACTGGTTTCCTAGCTGTCCCCGTGATCTCATAATCTCATGACCTCAGGGTTGCTTATTACCCAACCAACCGCACTATATCGTTTCTGAAAAGCGTTCAAACATGAGATACTGTACTGCACCGCATAAAAACAAGCGTCCCGTATCATGCCATCTGTCCCTCCTTCCCTTGATTCCTCCGCTCCCTACCTTCCGCTCCCTAGATTCTACTCCCTTTATTCTGGTAGTGGTGACTTCTCTCTCGGTTCTGTTGGGTGATTAACTGACTGGTTCCATCCTGGTCCCTCGGGTTCATCCAGAAACGACCTTCCTGTATCCTCACCATCTTACACCTCTCTCCAACCTACTGAACCACGGGTCACCACGACTTGCGACCTGCATTCTCGTAGCACCCCTCGTGCTCATGATTGTCTCTTGACTCGAGACGCTCTGCTCTGACGGTTTCAGTTTTTGTCAACTAAAGCAGTCGTACGGTTTTCGGTAAGACTCGTTTCAGACTCGCCTACCTGTTGCTGGGCAGCCACTTATAATCGACCTGCTCCACTAGCCTGTACCGACCTCTCGTTATAGCGGTTCAGGGTGTAGCGACTCTTGTATGGCGACACAAGTTTGCGAAAATTAGGGTTCATACGTAGTCTTAGCTTCCACACTCCAAGTTCCATATTTCCAGTCCCTTCGCGTTCAACTCGTCAACCTGGCCATGTCTTCAGGATAAATACCATTGATATTTGTGAATGGGGATAATGCGGTGTCAATGGGGTAATTCGAGAACTATATAAGCAGATGTTCTAACGATAATGCGGTGTCAACTGGATAGCTCGAGACAGTCATTACCGCGGATGAAATCGCAATAACCGGCGAAGGGAGGAAGGAGGGAGGGGGAAGGAGCGGTGAGGCATGAGCGCGAGCGGGTCGAGCACGCCGGGATGGGTGGGGTCGGGGTGCGAGCGGGTGGTGGTGGGAGTGGGGAAGGACCCCTGCAGCAAGGACGCGATCCGATGGGCGATTGCGAACAGGTTGCGACACCCCGACGACATGCTCATTCTGTTACATGTGGTTACCAAAGTTCCCACCCATCAGAGTAAGCCTCTCGCTGCTCGCCGTTTGGGATTTTCCCTTGCCGGAACCTTCGTTGACCTGCCTGTGAGGATTCCCTTCACATTGTCATGGTACCGTAGCAGTGTCGAGATGATGCTTCTGGAGCCCGTCGTTCCTGCTGCTGCTCGCATCGCATTTCGGCTTGCTTGGATTCACTGACCTGTTAAGTCGACTCGAAAGTCATCAGGTTCCGTGTAAGCTCGCGTGGAGTCGAGTATCCCGAAGTCCGAGCAGCTCCGCTCCTAGGACTCTCGCTCGCGTCTGTCCTTTCACACAGACCCGCTTGTGTTTCCTCACATGCATGGCTCTATGGCATGCATCTATGACGTGCGTGTTTGTACATGTGCTTGCATGTGTTGGTTCATGTGTTTCACGTGGTCTTCCATGTGTGCTTGCATGCGTTCTTTCATGTATGCATGCATGCATGCATTGGTGCGTGTGTGCATCCATGCATGCATTGGTGTGTGCGTGCATGCATGTGTGTATGCGTGCGTGCATGGTGGGGGCAGAGGTGGAGATGTATCAGAGCGACGTGAACAACACAACATTCGTGCACTACGTGCGCACAGTCGTACAGCCAATGATGATCGAGCTTAAGGGCATGGTCGATTCCAAGGTGAGCAATCAATCGCAGCAGCCTGCACCGCAACGACTTGCTCTATAGCACAGGTGACAGGAACAAGGCCGCCCAGCCGTTTCTCATTGTCGTTGCACCCAGAGGTAGTGGTGCAGGACGGCCGTTTCTGCTGGTGTTGCTTATAAAAATCCTCGAATGCTTCTCATTGCTGGAGCATCCAGGGATGCTGGAGTAGGGTGGTGCGGCTTGTGTGGCGGCTCAGTGGTCATATTCTGGGGTACGAGTGTAGGGCATATGTTGTTTTGGGGGATGGGGTTGTTGAGGACACGACGAGCACAGCATGGACGGGAATGCTGATGTCGCTCCTGGTGCTTGTGTGTGTGTGTGGGGGTGCTTGTGTGTGTGTGTGTGTGTGTGTGTGTGTGTGTGTGTGTGTGTGTGTGTGTGTGTGTGTGTGTGTGTGCGTGTTTCAAATTGTGCATGTGCGAGCATGTGCGTGTCTGTGCACATGGTGCATGGCAGATAAAGCTGGAGTTGAAGGTGGGGCGCAACAACAGCAAGGAGAAGGGAATAGTGGACGAGTCCAGGAAGCTCAAGGCCACCACTCTCGTCGTCGGCACCAGCTCAAGGGGCATCTTTGGCATGTATGTGTGCGTGTGTGTGTGCATGCATACACTTGGGCGGCACCTCTGTTCCGTGGGGCCAGCTTTGTACAGTGCGTACAAGGCAGCTCAAGGCCACCACACTCGGTGTCGGCACCACCAGCTCCCGAGGCATCTTTGGCATGTACGCAATCGAGCTTATCTGGAATGTTCATGCGTGCAAGCTTGTTCATTTGGCACCTTCATTGAAGGCGCCCCATTTGGCAAGTGCGTGCCACCTGTACTGCACCCATCATCTCTCCCACCCGACCCCACTCCCCCTCTTTCTGTTTCCCAGACGCGGCCGTACAGGTGTGGGGGCATACTGCATGAAGAACCGACCACCCACAGTGTCCGTCTACGTGGTGCTAAAGGATAAAGTCACCGCGTGCAGAGAGGCCGACTCCCTGCCCGGCTCCTCCTCCTCCGCTCCCACCAGCCCCGGTCACATGCTCGTGGCATCAGCAGCACCGTTCCGCCACAGCCCCTCCATGTCCGCGCACCACCAGTCTGACCGCTCCTCCACGCGCAGCTCGTCAGGGGTGCTCGAGCCCACCGATAGCCTCGGGTTTGATGATGCAGGAGGGGATGATGAATCCGCAACCGCAAGAACCAATGGCGCGCAGCCACCTGGCGGGGGCTGCCCCAGCAGCCCCACGGGCCACACTGCCCCGCAGCCCTCCCGAGCCGGTACCTGGCCGCATCATGACCCTGCTGCTCCTTCCACGCCTGACGGTTTGCCCGGCTTCCAAGCCTACTCCCCAGGCTTGGCCGTACCTCACAGCATGCCAGGGGCCTCCCCGGTTCGGAATCCTGGGGACGGCGGCGATATGGTGGAGTCCATGATGCAGATGAAAATGCAGCAGCTGCAGCTGCAGAACCAGCAGCAGATGCTGCTACTGCAACAGCAGCAGCAGCTGCAACAGCAGCAGCAGTTGCAGCAGATGCAGCTACAGCAGGTGCAGCAGCGGCTACAGAGGGACTATCTAGCAGAGGTGGACGCGTGGAGGAGGGCAAACCCTCAGGCAACCCCAGAGCAGCAGCAAGCGTTTATGGCTGATCTCGAGGCACGCATGGCCCATGCCACAGCAGCCCTAGCGGGCCTGCCTCTCCCTGACGCCGCTGCTACTGCTGCCAGAGGAGGTGGTAACCAGCAGGCTGCGTTCGGCCCTGAGGGGGGTCAGTTTCAACAGCAGGCTCGGCCCGAGCCTGGGGGCTCGCCTCGGGTTGCCGCGGCACAGGGAGTGGCACGGGAGGTGGAGACAGCTGCGAGGATCGGGCAGTTGGCTGTAGACGCGGAGAGGGCGCGAGCAGTCGCGGTAGAGGGGAGGAGAGCAGCGGAAGAGGAGGTGGGGAGGCGAGAAGGGAGGGGTGAAGAAAGGGGGAGGAGAGAGGAGGCGGAGAAGGGGGCGGATGGTGGAGGGGGGCAGGCGGGGGGAGGGGAAGCGGTGGCGCCGGTGGTGCGGCGGGTGCATCACTACAGGGAATACTCGTATGAAGAAATTCTGGTGCGTTGGGAGATGGGAGAGGGATACAGGGAGAGGGCGAAGTGATGGCACAGGGATGCAGTATACTGGTCTGATGTTTCTGATGTTTGCTTCAAGGCGTGGTTTGGCACGCTCCACACACGCTGCTTCCTGCTTGCTGCCCTCCTTCCCCAATAACCCCTCTTGCTGTGCCTCCCCGTTGCACTTTTCCCCCCTGTGCGCCCCCGTCTGCACCCCCCCACCTGTGCCTTCCCCCCCTGCTCGTTTCCTTCCTCATTGCTCGCCCCCCCCACCCCCCACTGGCCCTCCCTCGCACCAAGCAGGCAGCGACGGACAACTTGAGTGTGGAGTGCAAGCTTGTCGAGGAGGGGGGTTGGCACCGTGTGCTCTGGCACTTCACTTCAGACCGTGCCCTCCCCCCTGCTCGCCCCCGTGTGCACTGGCCCTCTTTCACACCAAGCAGGCAGCGACGGACAACTTCAGTGCGGCGCGCAAGCTGGGCGAGGGGGGCTTTGGCACCGTGTACTCGGGCACGCTGCACCACACGCCCGTGGCCGTGAAGCTGCTCAAGAGCCAGGACTCCATTCAGGCCATGGCGGAGTTCCAACAAGAGGTGCGTGGCTGGTGGTGCTGCCTTGGTGCGTGCGTGTTGCCTGGGTGCGTGAGTGTTGGGCACTTGAGTCGACTCAAATGCCATCTCAGTGAAGCTGCTCAAGAGCCAGGACTCCATCCAGGCCATGGCAGAGTTCCAGCAGGAGGTGCGTGGCTGTAGACGGGTCGGGTCCTTATATTGGGCTTGACTACCCGGGCGGGTCGGGTAGTGTATACTCGGGCGGGTATGAAATACCCGGTACCCGACCCGGGTGTCCAAATTCGGGTATTTGATACCCGTCAATGTAGTCCAGAACAAACATTTTTTGGCTTCTTCCCCCTCTTCCCTCCCAACCCCTCCCTACCCATCACTCCCCACCGCCCTCCTCCCTTCCCCTCCTCCCACCACCCCGCCCCACTCTCTCGCCCAGGTGGAGATTCTGAGTCAGATTCAACACCCGCACGTGCTGATGCTGCTGGGGTGCTGTCCCGATCGCTACGTGCTCGTCTACGAGTACCTCGCCAACGGCTCCCTCGAGGACCGCCTCCTGCGCCTGCACGCCCCCCCTCCCTTCCTCTCCCTTCCCCTGCTTCCACGTCAAGTCTTAGTCGACTGAAAGCTCACGTCCCACCCCGCCTCCTCCTCTCATCTTCGTCCTCCTCCTCCTCCCCCCTGCCCCCCCAAAACCAGGTGGAGATTCTGAGTCAGATTCAACACCCACACGTGCTGATGCTGCTGGGGTGCTGTCCCGATCGCTACGTGCTCGTCTACGAGTACCTCGCCAACGGCTCCCTCGAGGACCGCCTCCTGCGCCTGCACGCCCCCCCTCCCTTCCTCTCCCCTCCCCTGCTTCCACGTCAAGTCTTAGTCGACTGAAAGCTCACGTCCCACCCCGCCTCCTCCTCTCATCTTCGTCCTCCTCCTCCTCCCCCCTGCCCCCCCAAAACCAGGTGGAGATTCTGAGTCAGATTCAACACCCACACGTGTTGATGCTGCTGGGGTGCTGTCCCGATCGCTACGTGCTCGTCTACGAGTACCTCGCCAACGGCTCGCTGGAGGACCGCCTCCTGCGCCTCAACGCCACGCCGCCCCTCCCCTGGTTCGTCCGCATCCGCATCGCTGCTGAAATCGCCTCCTCACTCCTCATCCTGCACACCCGCCCCGTGCCCATCGTGCACCGAGACTTAAAGCCCGGAAACATTCTGCTCGATAAGAACTTTGTCGCGAAGCTTGGGGATGTGGGGCTGGCGAAGCTTATGCCGGGGCTGTCTATGGAGAGGACGTGCGACCGCGAGTCCACCCCGGTGGGGACGTTCGCGTACGTAGACCCGGAATTCCAACGAACCGGGGAATTCGGCCCGAAATCAGACGTGTACGCGTTCGGCATCGTCCTTCTAGACCTCCTCACAGGCCGCACACCCGCTCTGTACGAAGCCCTAGAAGTCGCTGTGGAGAACAACCGCAACGACGAGCTGATGAGGTTTCTTGACGCGGGCGCGGGCACGTGGCCGCAGGGCATGCCGATGGAGATTTCCAAGCTGGCGATTCAGTGCAGCGAGATGAAGAGGAGGAAGCGGCCGGACCTGGAGACGGAGGTGATGCCGGTGTTGGATCGGATGCGGAGCGTGGCGATCAAGGCAGAGGAGGATGCGAAGAAGGCGTCGCTGGTTCGGCCTGTGGCGACTGCTCCTCCGTGCCTCTTCTGCCCCATCACTCAGGTACTGTACGCCGCATTGCAATCACTCGGTGCTGTTGGCTTGTGCTGCAATCGCTCCGGCACCACCATCTCCCCCCTTGCTGCAGTGGACTACCCCACACTGCTCATGGCATAACACCAAGGCCATGACTGCCGTTGCAAGAGTGCGCAACTTGTGCTTCCCCTCCTTGCCTTGAGCCCCTGCTTGCTTGAAGGAGCTGATGGTGAGCCAGGTGATGGGAGCAGGCCGACACACATACGACCTTCCCCCATTTGTTTTCCCAATCCGCCCACACCCAACCCCCCTTTTCCTCCTCCCCCCTTCCCCCAACTTCCCCTTCATCCCATTGAACGCCTCTCACAGGAGCTGATGGTGAATCCGGTGATAGCAGCGGACGGGCACACGTATGTGGTCGTGGCCCTCCTCCCCACCACCTTTCTCGTTCACCTTGCTACCGTTGACAACCCCCCCCCAACCCCCCCTTTCTCCCACCCCCCTAACAGGAGCTGATGGTGAATCCGGTGGGGGGCGGGCACACATACGAGCTGGTGCTGCTCCACATTCATCCGCTCCCAACCTCCCAACCCCCCCCTCCCCCCCCCCCCCCCCCCCCCCCCGCCCCCCTTACCCACCATTACAGGAGCTGATGGTGAATCCAGTGATAGCAGCGGACGGGCACACGTACGAGCTGGTGGCGATACAGCAGTGGCTGGAGAAGAGTGACCGCTCGCCCATGACCAACGTACGCCTGCCCTCCAAGGCCCTCGTGCCCAACCGCGCCCTCAAATCCATGATCCTCGACTGGCGCGAGACAGGCGGATCGGGATAAGGTAACCACTTTCTGGTACACGGTTGAATCATTTCTGAGCCCATAATGACTCATGAGAGCCCTCAAATCCATGATCCTCGACTGGCGCGAGCGCGGCGGGCCGGGGTAACAAACCTCTCTTTGCGTCGAAACCACGCTTGATTTGCTCTCGAGCCTTCTCGAGAATTCTCGTTGACTGCCAGAAGCATGGTGGGCGCAGTGATGGTTGTCTAGGCGCCTCCACTGCCCAACCGAGCCCTCCAGTCCATTCGCCCTTCAATCGCCCAAACACGGTTGGACCTTGTGCCAACAGCCAAGCTGGATTCACTGTCGCTGCAGGTTGGCATGACAGCCGGAAAAACAGGCCCAGTAATGTCTGCTGGAAGAGTGAAGGTTTGTTCGTTGCCATTGGAGCAGCAACAATGTTACCGTACGTGACTGGCTGCTCTCTTTCAGCTTGATAGAAAATGGGAAGACCGTTAGGTTCCAATGGCTTACTTGTGCTTGTTTGGTATGGGCCATGCTAGCACGTTGTGCCCTAGGTTTCCTTGTGAGGCCTAGCACGAAGTAAGCAATCTCAGTTGGATCCGGTGGTTGGTTCATCACCTTGTTTTCGTTGTAATTTCTTCTGCATCAGGAGCATATTTTGATTTACATATGGCGCTACCATTTGTGAAATAGGCTAGCTGTTGTTGGAGAAGCCTGTAAAGGAGATACAAATCTCTACACGTCAATTGCGGAACGATGTCTAGATCGATGCGACAGTCAAACCAGCCGTCAATATCAGGGTGAATATTTTATGGCGGTGTAATACAGTGCGATGTGCTCGGTGTATTTTGCCCTTTCTGGCTCGATTACGTTCTCGAATCTGCCCAGAACAAGCAGCAATCATGTACGGTTCTTTACGGTTTTTGAGCTGTTAGTACGTTTCTCTGCGCTTCAGCGGGATGTTGAGGCAGAATCAAGAATTATCTCCAGAAAATCACACACACAATATTACGACAGAATTCTGTTCAGCAGCAATCTTCGGCGGTGGATTATGTGCACTCTTGCTGCCCCGTGCTGTGTGCCTTTCGAGGTATGCACCCACAGTCAATGGATCCGACGGCCATCGGGCTTCTTCGCCAGCACAGACTTCGCAGATGGATGGATGTAGTGACACGTCGGTCAATACTGTTGAGACACATCCCAAGGTCAGAATCCCAAGACACTCACAAACCCCTAAGTTTGTTACGCACTCGTGTTGGGCTCCCTCTGCGCTGGCGGGAAGCAGCAGCCCCGCTGCTGCAATCTGACAACCTCGAGGCGGATGTTCCATATCTGCTCGTCCACCTTGGCGAAACGTATCTTCTCGGAGGTGGACGGATTTGCCGAGAGGCAGACGAAACTCGTATCTCGAATCTGCCTCACACTCTGAATCACCTACCCACCACCATCACCGCCTTTGCTTGCACCTCAAATCCTCGGTGTTGGTTTTGTTCTCTCCTCCTCCACACACCCCCCTCACGCGTGCCGCTGGCCGCGGTGGTTCTCGGCCTCTTCCTCCCTTCCTGTCCTTTCGAGCGGCTACTTAGCCATGGCATTGTGTTATTTGATTTACGACCAAGAAAGCAGGAGTTTCAGCATAGTGCGGTGCGAATCAACGTCTTATCAAGAAGCTTGGCGTGATTCATTACTTGAGAGGTTCTTTTCTAGTATAAGTCACTATGCGGACGAGAACCGGCGGGTATCAAAGTGCTTCAGACGGTATTACTTTCCACATACGTCACATACCTTCCAAACGGGCGTACTCGACGCGAATGTCGCTAAAGGCTTCAGATTCGTCAGCTCACAAACGGCTCGCGGCTTCACGGCCTTCGGCCATGGATAACCTTCCTGTACGTGCATTCTCTGAGGCCATGAACATGCGTGGTCTTTGCTTTACAAACCTTCCCTTGGGATTCCAAAGAAGATTGTAACCGAAGTGCTTTTATCAAATTGCAGGACGAGATACTCACATGCATACTGGAGAAGGTGGTCGCTGGAGCCAACTCTTCCGCTGACGTCATCAACGTCCTCCTCACGTAAGGGCCTCCGAGACTTAACGTCACAAACTGTAAAGCTTCTTACTTTCAACCGCTTACCTTTCGAAACAGCCACGCAAGCAACTGACGTTGATGTTTCTGCTTTGTTGGCCCTTCAGGTCCCGTCGCATGTGCGAGCTCGGCACGCAGGCTCAAGTGCTTCAAAACGTGTCGCCTCTCGCGCTCGCGATGCGGGCACGGTCGCTGACCGAAGGGTCGCATAGGTTCTTGCACAAGTGTGCGGCTTCCGGCAACACAGACGCCTGCTACATTCTCGGCATGGTAAGCCTTCTGGATCCCACGTTCTCGCACGAAATTATCGCTGTTCAGTCTTTCCCTCTCCTCCCCGTCCCTCCCTTCCTCCCCCCTTCCCCCTTCCCCTCCTGCGTCGTTATACTGAGTCAGTAAAACATAGTTCTCTATACTCACACCGGTCATCTTCTCCCTTCTCCTGCTACAGATTAAGTTCTACTGCCTCGGGGATCACCAGCACGGAGCCACGCTATTGGCCAAGGCGGCGCTCGCGGCGCACCCGCACGCGCTGCACTCGCTCGCCGTCATCCACTTCAACGGCAGCGGCGGCACGCGCCACGACCGCGACCTGGTGGCGGGGGTTCTCCTCTGCGCGCGCGCCGCGGCCGCGGGACACGTGGAGGCGCTGCGGGAGCTGGGGCACTGCCTGCAGGACGGGTATGGCGTGCAGCGGGATATTCCCGAGGGCCGCCGGATGCTGCAGGAGGCGAACGTTCGCGAAGCTGCGCGCGCGCTCGCCTGCTCCGTGGCGGTGCCACGGTGTGTTGTTCCGCCAGTAGTCCCGAGCGGCTCTCTGTCACGGATGACTGGGATGACTGGGACGAGCGGGACGTCTGTTTGTGGTGACGTGCAGGCGTCACCCGCGACTCTCCCGGTGGCTTCAGTTGGCGCTGGCTCTCCTGACTCATCTGGAAACGGTGCAGTGGGTGCGAAAGAGGGTAGCAGGAAGGGCGAGGTGCATGATCCGAGACCCCATGTGCTGACGCGTGCTGCTGCGGTTTCAAGCGCGTTTGCACGCCACCACGCGTGTACCACGGGTTCTTGGAGCCAAGGACGGAGCATTGACGCGCCTGGCGTGTCTGGCGCGCCGCACCAAGAGGAGATCGTACCCCACCGCGCTTCCTCCGGTTTGAGAGTCGACTTGAGCGTGCTGCAGACCCTGCAAAGCGCCGAGAGCGTGGCGAGACAAAGCGAAACGCAGGCCTACGAGGCAGGGGGGATGGAGAGATTGGAGGGTGATGGGCAGTTTCTGCAGCAGTCTGGGGTGCAGCCGCTGCAGAATCACCAGTCTGATAACCAGTCCCAGCACGCGCATCAGTCTAGCATCCAGCACTCAGAAGCACAAGTACCTGGACGCGGTACCCAAGCCCCTGTTGGTGCAGATGCAAGTGAAGCTTTGCCCCACGCAGAGAGGCCTCCTGTAGCCATGTGCTCGGGGTCTAGTGGGCCCCACCGCTGCTGCTGCCTGCCACATGTCACCCTGCCGCCCTCCTGGTGGCATGTCGCCGTGCATAAATTCATGGTGGACTGGCATGCGCTCGTGCCACTCCCTGAGGGATTCAGAGTGTGCTGCAATGAGCTGTGCGGGCGATCGGAAACAAGGAAACAGGAGTTCCGGTGCTGCTCTGCGTGTGGGGAGGCTAAGTATTGCAGCCGCGTGTGCCAGGCAGTGGACTGGAAGGCCCGGCATAAGGTGGTGTGTCAGCTTATTGCTGCTAGGGTGCAGCAGGAGCAGGAAGTAGCGGCACATGTGGATTTGCTAAGACGGCAGGCACAGGGCCAAGAGCAAGAGGATCAGCATCGGCCTCAGCAGCATGATTACCCAATGCAACCGGATCAGCAGCAGCAACTGGATCAACATCAGCGGCAGCAGCAGCAGCAGCAGCAGCAGGTGCTGCAGCAAGTGAATAGCATTCAGGGTGATCAGCAGGAAGTACATTAGTGTAAGAGAGTAGAGGCTTCAGCCCCGTTCTAGAAGCTGCTTATGTGCTCCTGCCTTGCGTCTGTATGACTGCAACCTGTCTTCGGTTATTGTTATGAGTTGTACGAAAGAAGAGTGCGCAGTATTCAATAACGCGGAAGTGATTACAACTACTGACCAAACAACGAGGCCTAGGCATAATATAGCAGAGCTAGCTAGGCCGAGGTTGCGGTGTCGCGCGGAGGTCGGGTGCAGGTTCGGGGTTGGAAAACCCGAAGGCGACGCGGAGGACGTTCGGAAGGCGAGGTCGTCGGACCGAGCCTCAACTCCGAAAAGTTGGACTTGTACGCGTACGGAGTGCCTCAGTAAGGAATTAGGAAAATTCCTTACACTACCCCCCCCCCTTTAAGAAAGGTGGTCAATATCGGGCACGTGTCGGCGGGAAAGGTAATCCCGGAGTACCGAGTGGCCCTGTAGTGAGTCAGCCGGGACCCACGTGTCGTCGTCGCTGGTGCGATCCACCCATCGCAGGAGGAAATCAACGTGTCGTCCAGCTGGTGTCGCACGAATGCGATGATTCAGAATCTTCCAGGGCTGGAGTGTCGGGTCTGCGACGGGCCGGACACTTGGCGCAATTTGAGGTCGAGCGACGTCGGACGGCTGCGGAGCCACGTAGTGGCGAAGCAAGCTGACGTGGAAAGCATCGTGGATCTTCCAGTCGTCCGGTAGGAGAAGTTTCGCCGTGACCGGGGTCAGCATCCGAATGATGCGGAATGGCCCCACGTAGCGGGGACGCAATTTTGCGGGCTGGGGCAGTCGGAGATTCTTCGTGTCTAGGAGAAACATCTGCCCGTCACGGAAGGGTAAGTTCCGTCGATGTCGGTCGGCGTAGCGGCTGGCGGCAGTGTTAGCCTTTCGTATGAATTCCGCTGCCTTGTCGCGTGCTTGTTGAAGTTCCGAAACAAACTGCTGCGACCGTGGTACTGGATTTTCAGGAGTCGTTGAAGAGGGTACCACCGGATCTATCCCGTAATTAAGGTAAAACGGCGATTGATTGGTCGTTGCAGACGGGGCGTTGTTGTACGCAAATTCGAGCATGGGAAGTGTGTCTTCCCACTTGGTGATGTCGGGGCAGTTTGTGCGAATCAACTGCTCCATCGTCTGGTTGGTCCTCTCGGTCTGCCCGTCGGTTTGCGGGTGGTATGACGACGAAAACTGCAGGCGGGTGCCGTACTGTGCCCAGGTCTCCTGCCAGAACTTCGACGTGAATTTCGGATCCCGATCGCTGATGATCGCCGAAGGTAACCCGTGTAGTCGTACGACGGTCGAGATGAAAAGTTTCGCTGTTTCTTCGGCTGTGATCGTCGTGCGGCACGGTGCAAAATGCGCCATCTTCGTTAAGCGGTCGACGACGACCAGTACCGAATCATTGCCACTTGTGCCAGCTGGCAGCCCGGTGACAAAATCCATTGTCACATGTTGCCACGGTCGTTCGGGTGGCTCGAGGGGTTGCAACAATCCAGCTGGGCGTTGACGTGATGATTTCATTGCTTGGCAGGTCGGGCAGGCGGACACGTAGTGCTGCACGTCCGACGCCATGTCGGGCCAGTAGTAATTCCGCTGCAGCAGCTTCAACGTTTTGTCGACGCCGAAATGCCCGGAGAGGTTGGAGTCGTGTACCTCCTGCGTCAGCAATTCTCGTAAGGGTCGGTAGGAAGGTACCCAAACTCGGTTCGTACCGACTTTTAGGTAATAGCTCCCATGCGCCGTGGTGACCCGTTGGTGTTGGTTGGTCCTGAAAAACCTGTCAGTCCTGTAGCCGTGCTTGAACAATCCTGCCAATAGCGGGTTAGAGTGGGCGATTAGTACTGCTGCGGTTTGCATTGATGGGCGGGTCAGGGCGTCGGCGATGTTGTTGGCGCCCTTTTTGTACGTAATGGTGTAGCTGAAGTTGGACTCGAGGTAGTCGAGCCACCGGATTTGTCGCGGATTCAGCTGTGGTTGGCTGCGCATGCACTGTAATGACTTGTGGTCGGTTCGGATGGTGACGTCAGCTCCCGTGAGATAACAGCGCCAGGTACGAAATGCGTGCACGATGGCGAACATCTCCTTGTCGTGAACCGGATAGTTGCGCTCGGGCGGCTGCATCTTTCTTGACTCGTATGCGATGGGTTGCAGCCCGTTGCCGAAGTCTTGTAGTAGCACAGCGCCCACGGCGAAATCGCTGGCGTCCGTCACGACTTCGAACGGTCGAGATGGATCTGCAAGCCGAAGCACCGGGGGTGAACTCAAAAATTTTTTCAGCTCGTCGAAGGCCAGCTGCTCTCTCTTCCCCCAACAAAATTGCACGCCCTTATGCAGAAGATCGGTTAACGGCCTGGTTACCCCCGCCATATTCGGTACAAAACGGCGGACGTAGTTAACGAAGCCGAGGAAACTCTGCAACTCAGTGATGTTCGCGGGCGGCTTCCACTCCGAAATCGCTTTTACTTTACGAGGGTCAATTTTAATGCCCTCCCCTGAGACCACGTGCCCCAGGAACTCCAGCTTCGACTGCAAGAACTCGCACTTAGAGCCCTTCGTAATCAGCCGGTTCTGCTGCAAGCGCCGGAACACCTCCTCTAAGTCCTGTAAATGCTGCTCCCGAGTCTTGCTGTACACCAGGATGTCGTCCAGGTAAACAATAACCTTTTTGTCCAGCATGTCCCGAAACATCCCATTCATGGTGAGCTGGAAGGTCGAGGGTGCGTTCGTCAACCCGAACGGCATCACAGTGTACTCGTAACTGCCATAGCGGGTGCGAAATGCAGTCTTCGGGCAGTCGTCGGCGAACACGCGAATTTGGTGGTAGCCACCTCGCAAATCGATTTTCGAGAAGAAGCGAGCCCCGCGAAGCTGGTCCAGCAGGTCGCCCGCTCGCGGGATCGGGTAACGCGACTTGATTGTGACCCGATTCAACGCTCGATAGTCGATGCACATGCGCAGGCCTCCGTCCTTCTTCGGTGTGAACAGTATCGGGGCGGCGTAAGGTGACGTGCTCGGCCGGATAAAACTCTTCGAAAGCAGATAATCCAGCTGTTTCCGCAACTCGTCGAGCTCCGGTTGGCTGAGCCGCCACTGTGACCGAACAGTTGGTTTTGCGCCTGGCTCCAGCTCGATCCTGTGGTCTTCTGGTCGCTGAGGTGGCAGCCCATCAGGCAGGTCATCCGCGAAAATTTCGGGATACCTCCGGATTATGCTCGCCACGTCGTCTGGTACGGCAGCGCAGAGCGTGTCAATGTCGGCGATTTTCTCGGATGCGACCACCTCGTACAGCTGTACGGCGTAGCCCTGCGCTCCCCGTTTGATCGCCCTCTTCATCGTGATTGCGTTGACACGTGTTGTCATCGGCTCCGGCTCCGTCCATTTCGGAAGTGTCACGCGCCCCTTGTTGCACAGCACCGTGATCGCCCCCGTCGTCCAGTCGATCGTCGGATTGAATCGTTGTAGCCAATCTCGTCCCAACAGCACATCGCAACCGTCCAGTGTTGTCGCCAGCATTCGCATTGAAAACCCGAAATCGTCGCCACACTTCATCCGAATTTGTCGGACCTCGTCCTTTATCGCCAGCGGTGTCCCGTCCACCAGTCGCGCGTCAATTTCGGGCAGACACCTGTCCAGCTTGACTCCGATTTTTTTTGCCGTTGTCAGGTTGACGAGACTGTGGCTCGCCCCACCGTCAACGAAAAGTTTTATTTTTTGTCCGTTAACCCTCCCCACGACCAGCACAGGGTGATCCACGTGTTCATCCACCTTATTCGTCCGGTTGCGGTCGATAGCCCGTATCGGTACCACTACTCGGTGTGGATGTTGATTGCCGGGCGACGGGGTCTCGTCAGTAGGTGGCCCGACTGCTACTAACTCGTCTCTTTTCCCGACCCCTCTCCGTCGTTCCTGTTTCCCTGTTTCAGCTTCGGGCCGTCCTTCCTCCAGTGGCCCGGTTGGTTGCAGTTGAAGCACGTGTTAGGTCCACGTCTCGGTGCATCCACCCCGTTGATTGTGGGCTGGCGCGGCGGTCCACGAAATTGAGTGCCCTCCCGGGAACTCATTCTCGCCCATTGCATCAGCGCATCCGTCGATTCGGCCACCTGGACGGCATCGAGGAAACCGCGTGGCCTCGCCTGTCGCACCTCGTACTGTACTTCGTACTTGAGGCCTGCGACGTATCGGTCGAGTCGTTCCGCATCACTCATGTCGTCCACCTGGTCAGCCAAATTGCAGAATGTTGCCGTGTAATCTTGGACCAACGCCACCTGCTTCCAGGTACGCAGCTTCATGCGAGCAGAATCCGAGGCGGATACGTGCTCGAATCTGGCTCGCAGCGCGGCGCCCCACTCCGTCCATGTGCGTATCGTGGCCACTCCGAAGATTGAAGTTGCTCCTTGCGTGACAGTTGTCCAGGTCCCGTCATTCGCACGTGACATCCCTGCCGGAGTCCCCTCTGTCTGAAGAATCCGCTTCCACCACTCCAACGCCGGTCCTCGTAACAGTGACACTGCAAAATTAATGCGAGTAGCATCGTCAGCAATTTGCGCAGCATTGAAAAACACCTCCACACCGAACAACCATGCCGACACAGTAACGGTTTTGTCGCTGGGGTTGAACGGGGGCGGGTTTGTCGGCTTTATTTTAACAGTTGTTGAGACTGTTGGTGCTGCATGCATCGGGGGCGCCACCGAGGCCATCACCGGGTTCGTCGCTGGCGCCTGTCGTGGCGTTGTCTGCGACTGTTGCCCAGATGCCACTTGTGCTTGTTGCTGCGGTCGTGGCCGTTGCTCTTGCGTCCCTTGTGCTTGTTGCTGGCGTGCCGCCCACTCATCTTCAGCGTCCAGCGAGCCCTGTAGCTCACTAAAGACGTCGTCGTTGGGTAGCTACTTGCTTCATCCACGGCGGGCGACTCCCGACGCGCTTCACCTCGCGTCTTGCGTAGCTCGGCGTTTTCCACCTTCAGGCGCTCCATCTCTGCAGACATGGTCTGCAAGTTGGCTTGCATCGCCCGAAACTGTTGCATGAACTCGTTGAACTCCGCCTGTTCCATGTTTCGCAGGCTTCTCCTAACGGGCAGCGGGTTAACAGCGATTTTTATGGTTTTGATGAAGGCGCAAACGCTATTAGTCGGAGCGAGATAATCGTATCTATCTCTCAGCCGACCGCTTTGCAGCCCACCAAACCTATCGCACCCCTGCACTAAAACTACCCCGGAAAGTGGAGGGTAACCTAGGAAAGTAGCTCTGATACCAAGTGTTATGAGTTGTACGAAAGAAGAGTGCGCAGTATTCAATAACGCGGAAGTGATTACAACTACTGAGCAAACAACGAGGCCTAGGCATAATATAGCAGAGCTAGCTAGGCCGAGGTTGCGGTGTCGCGCGGAGGTCGGGTGCAGGTTCGGGGTTGGAAAACCCGAAGGCGACGCGGAGGACGTTCGGAAGGCGAGGTCGTCGGACCGAGCCTGAACTCCGAAAAGTTGGACTTGTACGCGTACGGAGTGCCTCAGTAAGGAATTAGGAAAATTCCTTACAGTTATGTTATTCAGAAATCTATTATCTACCTGTATTCAATCATATTATTCATAAAATAGCCCGTATTCAGTTACAGACTAGTATCCAGAAATTTGAGGGAGAGCAGTACCACGTGCAAAAGCAGACGTACAGGTGCTTTCGCAACGTTCTACGATCACGGTGGGACTCGAACCCACAATCTCCCGCTCCGGAGGCGAGCGCCTTATCCATTAACCACGCGACCTGTGAAAGAATGAAAGATAAATATATAGTTTGTCAAAAAGTCTCAGCAAATCTTTTGTTTTTGTTTGCCTACTTTCCAGAATTTTCATATGTACTGGGTCTAAATCGCCTCTGGTACTCCCCCCTCCTCTCCCCCTCCTCCCCCCACCTCTTTCCCTCCCCCTATTCCAAAGCAGAGTGGTTGTTTAAAAAAGAAGAATTAGGACATGAGTGTTAGGTTACCATGTGAACAGTTAGCTAGTGAACATGCACCCTGCAAAGCCTTATTATCCCAACCAGATCGGATGTTTGCCATGCTCAGCCATCAATCGCTGCTCACAAGTGGTTGGAGGCTGACGTCAGGATGTAGGTGGATGAACGGATGGTTCTGATTGGACATGAGGGTGGGACGGAAGGGACAGCAGCAGGGAGAAGGGGAGAGGATTAGCGAAGGCCAGACTAAGTAAAACAGGAGATGCAAGACAGAATATCACTAGAATAGGGTATGGGAAAGTCTGACGTATATGCGTGCGCCATACTACATAACCACCCATGTCGCATGCCACACGACGAGTGGGGAGGAGGTAAGGGAGAATAAGAATGGGCCGAGGGGCCGAGAGAGTGGGAATGGTAGACTCACAAGAAGTTGCTCTGCTGATGGGCGCTGGTTGGGGTCCTTCTGAAGACTGCAGGGGGGAGGGTGAGGGTGGGAATTGCACATGAGATGAGTGCACATGAGATGGGTGCACATGAGATGGGTGCACATGAGATGGGTGCACATGAGATGAGTGCACATGAGATGGGTGCACATGAGATGGGTGCACATGAGATGAGTGCACATGAGATGGGTGCACATGAGATGGGTGCACATGAGATGGGTGCACATGAGATGGGTGCACATGAGATGGGTGCACATGAGATGGGTGCACATGAGATGAGTGCACATGAGATGGGTGCACATGAGATGGGTGCACATGAGATGGGTGCACATGAGATGGGTGCACATGAGATGAGTGCACATGAGATGAGTGTTCCACATGGGTGCACTGAAGCTCAACACACCAGAGCACTGCACCGCACTACACCCACCCTCCCACCAGCCACCCAGCCAGGCACCCACCAAAGAGTCACAAAGTCGCAGAACTGGGGTGAGAAGAGAACAGGGGGTCAACGTGAGCGCACTCGATCGCACACAGAGCACTGCACCGCACTACACCCACCAGAGAGCCACAAAGTCGCAGAACTGCGGCGAGAAGAAGTCCGGCGGAGCAATGGGAGCCGGCGAGTTGGAAATCTCCGAGAGCAGATCGAAGTAGTTGAAGGAGCCTCCAGAGGCGGGGCGGTAGGGGTACTGCCCGATGGCACACTCCAGCAGGCTCAGTCCGAAGGCCCACAGGTCGCTGTTGTGCGAGTAGGACCTGCCCATTATGCGCTCCGGCTGATGGTGGAGGGGAGGGAGAGGGACGAGCGGAGAGGGAAATAATAGCAGTGAGGGAACAATGGACATCGGCCAGTCAAAAGTTAGGAAAAACGCGTGATGCTGTTAAGGAGGACTAGTGACGCCTCATGTAAGTTGCTGTTGCTGTTGCTGTTGCTGTTGCTGTTGCTGTCACAACTCACCGACATGTACGTATAAGTCCCCGCAAACGTGTTCCCAACGTCATAGCTGTTCTCCAGCACGCGAGATACACCAAAGTCGCTGATCTTGAGGCACCCCGACTGGTTGAGCAGCATGTTGCTGGGCTTGATGTCGCGGTGGATGATGCGGTGCCCCTGGTACAGGTCCCGCAGGCCCTGCAAGGCCTGCCGGGAGATGGCTGCGAGGTACGGCTCCGTGATTCGCCCCACCAGCTGCAGCACGTCGGCCAGTGAGCCCGCGTCCATGTACTCGAGCACTATGAAGAGGTGCCCGTCGTCCACGAACGCCTGGAGATGGGTGGTGAGCGGTGGGAAGGGGTGGTGAGCGTGGAGATGGGTGGTGAGGAGGGGTGCAGAGCGGTGGAGAGGGTTCAGAGATGCCTCGGAATGACTAGTTGGCCAGCAACCCCGCGTCCGTGTACTGGAGCACTCTAGTTGGCGCCCATCGTGCATCCATGCCCATCGTGCATCCATGCCCATCGTGCATCCATGCCCATCGTGCATCCATGCCCATCGTGCATCCATGCCCATCGTGCATCCATGCCCGTCGTGCATCCATGCCCATCGTGCATCCATGCCCATCGTGCATCCATGCCCATCGTGCATCCATGCCCATCGTGCATCCATGCCCATCGTGCATCCATGCCCATCGTGCATCCATGCCCATCGTGCATCCATGCCCATCGTGCATCCATGCCCGTCGTGCATCCATGCCCGTCGTGCATCCATGCCCGTCGTGCATCCATGCCCGTCGTGCATCCATGCCCGTCGTGCATCCATGCCCGTCGTGCATCCATGCCCATCGTGCATCCATGCCCATCGTGCATCCATGCCCATCGTGCATCCATGCCCATCGTGCATCCATGCCCATCGTGCATCCATGCCCATGGTGCATCCATGCCCATGGTGCATCCATGCCCATGGTGCATCCATGCCCATCGTGCATCCATGCCCATCGTGCATCCATGCCCATCGTGCATCCATGCCCATCGTGCATCCATGCCCATCGTGCATCCATGCCCATCGTGCATCCATGCCCATCGTGCATCCATGCCCATCGTGCATCCATGCCCATCGTGCATCCATGCCCATCGTGCATCCATGCCCATCGTGCATCCATGCCCATCGTGCATCCATGCCCATCGTGCATCCATGCCCATCGTGCATCCATGCCCGTCGTGCATCCATGCCCGTCGTGCATCCATGCCCGTCGTGCATCCATGCCCGTCGTGCATCCATGCCCATCGTGCATCCATGCCCATCGTGCATCCATGCCCGTCGTGCATCCATGCCCGTCGTGCATCCATGCCCGTCGTGCATCCATGCCCGTCGTGCATCCATGCCCGTCGTGCATCCATGCCCGTCGTGCATCCATGCCCATCGTGCATCCATGCCCATCGTGCATCCATGCCCATCGTGCATCCATGCCCATCGTGCATCCATGCCCATCGTGCATCCATGCCCATCGTGCATCCATGCCCATCGTGCATCCATGCCCATCGTGCATCCATGCCCATCGTGCATCCATGCCCATCGTGCATCCATGCCCATCGTGCATCCATGCCCATCGTGCATCCATGCCCATCGTGCATCCATGCCCATCGTGCATCCATGCCCATCGTGCATCCATGCCCATCGTGCATCCATGCCCGTCGTGCATCCATGCCCGTCGTGCATCCATGCCCGTCGTGCATCCATGCCCGTCGTGCATCCATGCCCATCGTGCATCCATGCCCATCGTGCATCCATGCCCATCGTGCATCCATGCCCATCGTGCATCCATGCCCATCGTGCATCCATGCCCATCGTGCATCCATGCCCATCGTGCATCCATGCCCATCGTGCATCCATGCCCATCGTGCATCCATGCCCATCGTGCATCCATGCCCATCGTGCATCCATGCCCATCGTGCATCCATGCCCATCGTGCATCCATGCCCATCGTGCATCCATGCCCATCGTGCATCCATGCCCATCGTGCATCCATGCCCATCGTGCATCCATGCCCATCGTGCATCCATGCCCGTCGTGCATCCATGCCCGTCGTGCATCCATGCCCGTCGTGCATCCATGCCCGTCGTGCATCCATGCCCGTCGTGCATCCATGCCCGTCGTGCATCCATGCCCATCGTGCATCCATGCCCATCGTGCATCCATGCCCGTCGTGCATCCATGCCCGTCGTGCATCCATGCCCGTCGTGCATCCATGCCCGTCGTGCATCCATGCCCGTCGTGCATCCATGCCCGTCGTGCATCCATGCCCGTCGTGCATCCATGCCCGTCGTGCATCCATGCCCGTCGTGCATCCATGCCCGTCGTGCATCCAGGCCCGTCGTGCATCCACGCCCATCGTGCATCCACGCCCATCGTGCATCCACGCCCATCGTGCATCCACGCCCGTCGTGCATCCACGCCCGTCGTGCATCCATGCCCGTCGTGCATCCATGCCCATCGTGCATCCATGCCCATCGTGCATCCATGCCCATCGTGCATCCATGCCCATCGTGCATCCATGCCCATCGTGCATCCATGCCCGTCGTGCATCCATGCCCGTCGTGCATCCATGCCCATCGTGCATCCATGCCCATCGTGCATCCATGCCCATCGTGCATCCATGCCCATCGTGCATCCATGCCCATCGTGCATCCATGCCCATCGTGCATCCATGCCCATCGTGCATCCATGCCCATCGTGCATCCATGCCCATCGTGCATCCATGCCCGTCGTGCATCCATGCCCGTCGTGCATCCATGCCCGTCGTGCATCCATGCCCGTCGTGCATCCATGCCCGTCGTGCATCCATGCCCGTCGTGCATCCATGCCCATCGTGCATCCATGCCCATCATGCATCCATGCCCATCGTGCATCCATGCCCATCGTGCATCCATGCCCGTCGTGCATCCATGCCCGTCGTGCATCCATGCCCGTCGTGCATCCATGCCCGTCGTGCATCCATGCCCGTCGTGCATCCATGCCCGTCGTGCATCCATGCCCGTCGTGCATCCATGCCCGTCGTGCATCCATGCCCGTCGTGCATCCATGCCCGTCGTGCATCCATGCCCGTCGTGCATCCATGCCCGTCGTGCATCCATGCCCATCGTGCATCCATGCCAATCGTGCATCCACGCCCATCGTGCATCCACGCCCATCGTGCATCCACGCCCATCGTGCATCCATGCCCATCGTGCATCCATGCCCATCGTGCATCCATGCCCATCGTGCATCCATGCCCATCGTGCATCCATGCCCATCGTGCATCCATGCCCATCGTGCATCCATGCCCATCGTGCATCCATGCCCATCGTGCATCCATGCCCATCGTGCATCCATGCCCATCGTGCATCCATGCCCGTCGTGCATCCATGCCCGTCGTGCATCCATGCCCGTCGTGCATCCATGCCCGTCGTGCATCCATGCCCGTCGTGCATCCATGCCCGTCGTGCATCCATGCCCGTCGTGCATCCATGCCCGTCGTGCATCCATGCCCGTCGTGCATCCATGCCCGTCGTGCATCCATGCCCGTCGTGCATCCATGCCCGTCGTGCATCCATGCCCGTCGTGCATCCATGCCCATCGTGCATCCATGCCCATCGTGCATCCATGCCCGTCGTGCATCCATGCCCGTCGTGCATCCATGCCCATCGTGCATCCATGCCCATCGTGCATCCATGCCCATCGTGCATCCATGCCCATCGTGCATCCATGCCCATCGTGCATCCATGCCCATCGTGCATCCATGCCCATCGTGCATCCATGCCCATCGTGCATCCATGCCCATCGTGCATCCATGCCCATCGTGCATCCATGCCCATCGTGCATCCATGCCCATCGTGCATCCATGCCCATCGTGCATCCATGCCCATCGTGCATCCATGCCCATCGTGCATCCATGCCCATCGTGCATCCATGCCCGTCGTGCATCCATGCCCGTCGTGCATCCATGCCCGTCGTGCATCCATGCCCGTCGTGCATCCATGCCCGTCGTGCATCCATGCCCGTCGTGCATCCATGCCCGTCGTGCATCCATGCCCGTCGTGCATCCATGCCCATCGTGCATCCATGCCCGTCGTGCATCCATGCCCGTCGTGCATCCATGCCCGTCGTGCATCCATGCCCGTCGTGCATCCATGCCCGTCGTGCATCCATGCCCGTCGTGCATCCATGCCCGTCGTGCATCCATGCCCGTCGTGCATCCATGCCCGTCGTGCATCCATGCCCGTCGTGCATCCATGCCCGTCGTGCATCCATGCCCGTCGTGCATCCATGCCCGTCGTGCATCCACGCCCGTCGTGCATCCACGCCCATCGTGCATCCACGCCCATCGTGCATCCACGCCCATCGTGCATCCACGCCCATCGTGCATCCACGCCCATCGTGCATCCACGCCCATCGTGCATCCATGCCCATCGTGCATCCATGCCCATCGTGCATCCATGCCCATCGTGCATCCATGCCCATCGTGCATCCATGCCCATCGTGCATCCATGCCCATCGTGCATCCATGCCCATCGTGCATCCATGCCCATCGTGCATCCATGCCCATCGTGCATCCATGCCCATCGTGCATCCATGCCCGTCGTGCATCCATGCCCGTCGTGCATCCATGCCCGTCGTGCATCCATGCCCGTCGTGCATCCATGCCCGTCGTGCATCCATGCCCGTCGTGCATCCATGCCCGTCGTGCATCCATGCCCGTCGTGCATCCATGCCCGTCGTGCATCCATGCCCCTCGTGCATCCATGCCCATCGTGCATCCATGCCCGTCGTGCATCCATGCCCGTCGTGCATCCATGCCCGTCGTGCATCCATGCCCGTCGTGCATCCATGCCCGTCGTGCATCCATGCCCGTCGTGCATCCATGCCCGTCGTGCATCCATGCCCGTCGTGCATCCATGCCCGTCGTGCATCCATGCCCGTCGTGCATCCATGCCCGTCGTGCATCCATGCCCATCGTGCATCCATGCCCATCGTGCATCCATGCCCATCGTGCATCCATGCCCATCGTGCATCCATGCCCATCGTGCATCCATGCCCATCGTGCATCCATGCCCATCGTGCATCCATGCCCATCGTGCATCCATGCCCATCGTGCATCCATGCCCGTCGTGCATCCATGCCCGTCGTGCATCCATGCCCGTCGTGCATCCATGCCCGTCGTGCATCCATGCCCGTCGTGCATCCATGCCCGTCGTGCATCCATGCCCATGGTGCATCCATGCCCATGGTGCATCCATGCCCATCGTGCATCCATGCCCATCGTGCATCCATGCCCATCGTGCATCCATGCC